ATTTTAATAGACAAAATAGTAGTAAATAGTTCAAGTAAAACCAAATAAATATAATTGCTATCAGTTTTCATTTATGTTATAAACTCAAAATGTTTGTGATTCTGGAAATATTAAAATGAAATTCTATAGATTCGAATTCAGGCATGCAGTTCAACCAAAGCGAATATATACTTATATATGTACTTATTTTAAACGACCCACTTCCAAAATGATGATTCACTTATTTTAAATTTACTATTAAGTAGAATTATCGATTTGAAAACAAGACATTCCTACTAATTCTTTTCTACCTTCTTTGAAAAATCAAATCTCCTTTAAAATTATATTTTCTTTTCTATAATTTTAGAAAATAAAAATTGATTTTTATCATTTCTAAAGTTTAAATTGTTTAATTTCTATAGAATATATTTATTTTTTTATGTAGATATAATATAAAAAAGAAATACACAAAATATCTAATATAGATACAATTGAAATGTTCCGAGATCGAAAAATATAAAAATGCAATCCTATAGATGCAAATTCGGCCATGCAATTCCATACATACACATGAAGATACATTCGCTTCAAACGTTTCACGCATTCCCTGCGTGCTGTGTATGCGGGAAAGAGATAGCGAGAACTCGTTCCATTTCGTCACCGGCTTTTTTGCTTTTTAGCTGGCGCATCGACCGAGCTCGCCTCAGATGTTCTTTGGAAGTGCGCTGGTCAAGACGTAAAACAAAAAAGTGCAGCTAAAAGAAAAATCTAGTAAAAGTGCTAAAGAGTTAAAAAAAAAAAAAATTGCAAGGCAAAGAAAATAAAAAAAAAGGTGTTGAGACAATAGTAACGAAAGACAGCACAATGCCGGTCGATATATGCAGTCAACAGCACACATTGCTCAGTTCCAGAAGGTAAACTATCAAATTGATTGGATTTTTCCCTTGACGAGATTTTTCCATTGCCGCAATAGAGTTTTCCAATTAACACTTTGCCGGCTGTGAAATAAGTGAATGTTCTGTCATTCGTGAGAGTGAACTCAAGGTTTAAATAAAATTAAATATGCCTATTAGGAACAGCATTATTCAATTCAGCCGTAGCTACAAAGTTTTTTAAACGAAAATGTATTGTAAAGTAAACCAAATTAATTCGGTCTTTACTAAACATAAAAAGTAACTAGATTCGAATCATAATAAAAATAACCTACCGATTTCTTTACCAATCCCCGATTTGTTTTTCAAAATAGTGAACTAATTCAATGTAGTTCAATGCTTCCCGATTCCCCTAACTCGATCCCTCACTGTATCCAATCTTATTTGAAGAATGAAAGTGAATGTGATGTGTGAACTTCGATCTAGTTTCGTCACCGTTTCTTATCAGTTCGCAATATGCACTAATTGAATCGCCAGACAGCAGACCAGACCAATATCAGTTTATCTACTTCCTTTATGACCCATAAAATGCCAGCTTTGGTCGCATTTATTTATCAACCAAATCTAATGTCCGATACTAAGGCTTATCGGTTAATTGAAGCTTTTGTCAGCTCATTGAGGTGGGGAAATGAATGGATGGATCCGCTTCAGATTGGCGATTGCCTGTGTCGAATTGTAATAAAGTCAAGCATATTTATTTATGAAAACCCGCCCACTTGACCTTTCAGATACTTACTGTGTATAAGTATTAAATGAGAGCACGCCACAACACACTGAGAACTGTTGTTAATTACGTCACACAAAAAGTTGCTACAATAATATAACATTTACATCGAAAAGCTGAATTGTTGCTGGCATTGAAATCAAAGATAATCGTTAGGAGTGTTTGTTTATAGGGAAACCAGCCGGAGAATACCAAATAGAACAGGCATATCATGTTGTGGCATTGAAAATATTGAGAAGTACGCAATAGAAGCTCGGAAATAATATATCAGTCAATTCCATTGGGCTTCATAAATTGATTTTTGAGGAAATTTAAGAGGTCTTTTATATTATATGAGATAAATACAATTTTACCTATAATAATAGTATCTCATAGGTTCCCCCCAGCTATTTTACTCTATAGATAAAATCCGTATATATCCTTTCAAAAACCTCAGACAAAGCAAAGTTGATTGACCATTTTCCCATACACCTATAGACGTATTTTTAGTCGCAAATATGTAAAATTTCTAATGTATATCTTGTATTTGTTTGTGCGATTGCAGCGGAACAACAGATACCTCGTTGTCGTTGAACTCACTATCCCTGAACTCCGCTCTGCCGCCGACGGATCCCGATCACCACCACAATCCACACAACATGAACAAACTGTGCCGCCAAGTGTCAATTGAGTCGCCCGGACCGGGCGCCAAGAACTGCGTCTTCAACTTCTTTGTGCCCATCGAGGACACACCGGCCCTGGGCGCCCGCATCAGGATTGTGTGCGCCGGTGCCTGCTATCGCCGCCGCGATCGCTCCAATTCCATAACCAGCATGTCGTCGGTGTCTTCGGAGCTGAGCGACTACTGCCCGTCGGTCAACTCGATGTCCTCGCCCGCTCACCAGGGCATCCGAGAGGGATCCTTCTTCCCCGGCTTCGAAGTGGCCGGCGTGATCGAGTCCCTGGGTTCAGAGATCACGGAGGCCAACAACCGTGGTCTGCGCATTGGACAGCGCGTGATTGTATATCCGTTTGATGAGACCCCGGCCGGTTATGCCGAGCTCCTGGTGGTGCCAGATTTGAAGCATGTCGTGCCGATTCCCGACAGCCTGCCCATGGAGGTGGCAGCCATGCTGCCAACGGGCGCCCTGCTGGCCATGAATGCCGTTTTCAAGGCCCAAGCGGTGGTAACACAGATCCTCAGCCAGCGGGCTGCCACGGAGCCGAAGCGAAAGTGCAAGATCCTGATCGTGGGCACCGGCGGACTTGCGCTCTGGGCAGTGCGCATTGCTTCCTATCACTTTGCCTCGACTGGTGCCGACAACGTGGACATCACAGTGGCCAGTCTCAGGGACGAGGGCTTCCGCCTGGCCACGGAGATCAAAAAGTAAGTACAAGCAATCAGCCAGCGATTGCCTGAAAATAGTCTAACGTCAATAAATGAACCTCAAGTCAGTAATCTTCACACAGTAGCTTGGGTCATAAAACAAGAGAGATTAGTCTAGATTTTGGGTGATTTCAAGTTTAGATTAAAAAACCTCAACTTTGCAAGAGGGTTTTTTTTATGACAAAGCATTAAACATATATAAAAACAATTCAAGAACAGAAAAAGTACTAGACTTGGATAATTATAGTATTTTTCCCTCAATTTACTAACCGATCAACCTTTCTTATTACCCTTTTCAGTGTCAGCGTGGTCCAATGGAACGAATGCCTGTATGAGCCCCAGCTCATCGAGCGCACTAAAGACGTGTGCGGCGGAGCCGTGGATGTGGTTATTGATTTTGGCACAACCTCCAGAAGCCTGCACCGCTCAATGCACTGCCTGTCCAAGGGCGGTGTGGTGCTGATCAGCGACGAGGTGGCCGAGAAGCTGCTGCCCAAGTTCTCGCGGCTGTCCAACGAGTATCAGCAGGAGATTATACCGATCTCCAACGGCACCGCCGAACAGCTGGCGGAACTGGTGGAGCTGGTGGCCAACAAGAAGATTGAGCCGCCACCGCACTCTGTGTTCCCCTGCGAGCAGGCCGCTGAGGTCATCACAAAACTGTGCAACTCCGAGATTCCCGGACGCGCCATTCTCCGCTTCCACGACATTGAGTAGAAGCAGCGGGGAGTAGGGGAGTAGATGGCTCCCAATCAAGGCATTAAAACTCATTCAATATGGATATCTGTTAGTTGTATTCAGAGGAAACACACCCCCGACAAAACACTGCAACCTGCGACACTCTCGAAGCGGATTCAATTGTGCTTAATTTGTAGCCGGCCATTGTTTTGTAACCTTAATTTTTCGGACTGCAGACGACACCTCGTTTCATTGATTTAGAATTTTAAGCATTTTTAGTATTATGTACATATAGATTGTGATTTATTTTAATTTGTAAGCAAACCCACAATTCGGATTCTACTTTGCGATTGCCTAACACACAGTCTGCACAGATCGATCGCCATCACATCACCCACCCCATCATACAAGCCGGAAACGAGAGATTCGGGCATCGTATTTATGCTTCTTCAATGATTTTTGATTACGTAAAAGCCACTCTCAAGCAGAAGCGGACTACAAAATAAATGTTATACATATTATATACAAAATTGTTATGCATGCGATGCAAAATGTTTGATTCAATTGCTTGATGTTTGTACTCATTGCGTACATACGTACCCAACATTATACTCTACTTCTATTCATAAATAAATACCATAAACTATCAATGCATCTGGGGGCTGCTTTAGGATGTAGAAGGAAGCTAGGAGTCAAGGAGTCAGGTATTTCAGGCGAATTAACTGTTTAAAATCGTAAAAAGAAGAGTTTTTGATACGTTATTTTTAATTTTAATATTGGAAAAATAGTATATCTTTAAATATATGTGTTGGTTTCCATATTAAACTTAAAAATCATAGAAAGAAAATCTATATCATACTTTTACTAATTTATATAAACATTGAAATGTAACGGACGTCGCAAACTTTCTTAATCAAACAATATGGCAACGCTCTACAAATGAACTGGAACTCTAAAAACTCGATATTTCCTCATATCGATATATCGCAAAACACATATTGCTAGCCTCGGAATCAGAGTTGCCAGACTTCCCACTCATGGGCATTGCTCGTTCTTGAGGGTTTCTGCCTTTTTGTGTGCCCAGATGCCGCGAAAGCGAATTATTAATTAATTAAATTAACAGCAACAGAAATGGCTTGTATTATTATTAAGTATGTTGAGCCATACATATTTAAGAATAACTTATTAATAAATGATTAATATTTATTCAGAAATAACGCCTATTTTGCTTTGAAAATAGCTTCAGTTCCCGCTAGCCGCTAGTTTTTTGTGCCACCTCTATCCCGGAAATAGCTAAATTGTCAACGCTGGTCGGATTCGCGCCAAAAACTGTAAACAGCGCGGCAAGCTGATCAAAGAAGAGGAAGAGAGGCGAAGATCTGGAGCAGAAACCCCAATAATATATGCTGACGTTGGCGACTTCTATTTGAACAGATAAGTAAATTAGCTTCGCGATGGTTAATAAAGAGAACGCCCTCAGTGTGGGCCAGCAGGTGAAGTGGATCGGCAGCCACGACGCGCTCCAATCGGTGAAGAATCTCAAGCACAGGAACGTCTACTTCTACCAGAAGTGCATATATGGCCCACTGACTTTGACTGTGGGCGACTACATACTGGTTTCCAATGCGGACGCCGCCGAGCCGGACACTGTTAATGGTTGCGACGTGGCCCGCATCCTGCACATGTACGAACTGCGCGAGGTGACCGATCGCGAGCCCTACCGCGCCATCGTCCAGTGGTACTCCCGTCCAGAGGCCATACCGCACGTCCACTTCGACGACGACAACGTGTCCATTGACTTTGGCTTGGAGGTGATCGAGGAGCATCGGCCGTACGACAACGACGTCGCCCTAGGCGCCATCTATCGCAAGTGTGTCGTCCTGGAGGGCACCTCGCGCCGCTCGGCGGAGGAGATTCTTCAAAGCAAGTCGCATAAGCTGAAGACCACGGCCTGCCCCATGTTCGTGAGCCGGTACAAGTTCGTAAAGGTGAAGCGGAGCTATCGCCTGATTCCCCTGGAAATCCACCTGGAGGATCCGGATGCAAAGCGCAAGTCCTTGGCTGCCCTGCACGAAACTAAACGTCCATCATCGGCCCGCAAGGATGCTTCCGCGAAAGAAGAAGCCACCATGCAAAAACGACGACGCGCCTCCATGGCGGCGGCCACTTCGCTGGAGTTCGTCGATGTCAGCTACTTCAACTGCGAGAATAAGGTGTCGCCCATCAAGATCGTGGGCGGACGCAGTGTGGTTCGGCTGTCGGAGAAGAAGAAGAGCTCTGCCCAGGAGGAGATCAATGCCAACTATCTGCCGGCATCGCCGCTCACCGAGAAGAACGCCAAGGTGGAGACGCCCAAATCTCGAGCCTCGGCCGCACGCCGCAACCTTAATCTTAGCTTGGATCGAGGAGCAGACAGCACAGCTGATTCCGACTGCCTGAATTACTCCATTGTCCAGCAAACGCCCGATCCGAAGACGCCCTCCAATGACATGAAGATCAAGCTGCGCCTTTCGGAACGAAGGCGTTCAGTAAGGCTTGCCTCCATAGACCACGATCCGCTGGAGATTGTGGACGAGACCAAAGAAACCCCCAGCTCACGCAAGCGTTTGGGCGTAACCACTGGCGATATTTACCACACACCCACCAAGAAGTCCAAGGAGCTAACCATGGGCACTGACATGACGCCCTCAACGCGTCGTAAGAGTATCCTGAAGTCGGCCACCAGTCGACTGGCCGAGGGCACACCCAGACGCAGCATTCATCTCTCCAACATTGTGGAGCAGCGCGTATTCAAGGACGATGACATTATATCCACCCCGAAAAGGGGACGCCCGAAGAAGAGTGTCGAGGATGAGGACGACGACTACACGCCAAAGAAGTCTGTACAGAAGACGCCAACGCGATCGCGCCGCTTGAGCACCGCCACCAAACCAGCGACGACTCCCAGCAAAGGGACCACTGCAACCTCTGCAGCTGCCCCTATGACGCCCTCGCAGAAGATGAAGAAGATCAGAGCCGGCGAGCTGAGTCCCAGCATGCAGCAGCGCACAGATCGTCCGGTCAAGGACTCCAGCAAATCGCAACTGCAGTTGGCACGCGAGCAGCTGCACGTGTCCGTGGTGCCAAAGAGCTTACCCTGCCGGGAGCGGGAGTTCGAGAACATTTACGCCTTCCTAGAGGGTAAGATCCAGGATCAGTGTGGCGGCTGTATGTACGTGTCGGGAGTGCCGGGCACTGGCAAAACGGCCACAGTGACCGGAGTAATCCGCACCCTGCAGCGTCTATCCAAGCAAAACGAGCTGCCCGCCTTTGAGTTCCTGGAGATCAACGGTATGCGCTTGACAGAGCCGCGTCAGGCCTACGTCCAAATTTACAAGCAGCTAACGGGCAAGACGGTTTCCTGGGAGCACGCCCACTCCCTGCTGGAGAAGCGCTTCACAACGCCGGCGCCACGAAGAGTTACCACTGTATTGCTGGTCGATGAGCTGGACATTCTGTGCAATCGGCGTCAGGATGTGGTGTACAACCTGCTTGACTGGCCCACCAAGTCGGCGGCCAAGCTGGTGGTGGTCACCATTGCCAACACCATGGATCTGCCAGAGCGCCTGCTGATGGGTAAGCAAAAATCTAAATGATGTGTAAATAATTTTACTAAGACTTCACATTTTCTTTGTGGCGCAGGCAAGGTCACCTCCCGACTGGGACTCACCCGACTCACCTTCCAGCCGTATACACACAAACAGCTGCAGGAGATTGTCACCGCTCGCCTGGGAGGCTCGGAGGCTTTCAAGGGCGAGGCTGTCCAGCTGGTGGCCCGCAAGGTGGCTGCTGTCTCTGGCGATGCTCGCCGTGCCCTTGACATTTGTCGCCGTGCCACGGAAATCGCCGATACAGCGTCGGTCAAGTGCGTGACGCTGCTGCATGTGCAGCAGGCCCTGGCCGAGATGATAGCCAGTGCCAAGGTGCAGGCAATCAAAAACTGCTCGCGACTGGAGCAGATCTTCTTGCAGGCGGTAGCTGCGGAGGTCACACGCACTGGCGTCGAAGAGACCACCTTTATGGGTGTCTATACGCAGGTGGAGACAATAGCTGCGTTTATGGGTGTGACGTTGCCAGCTCCAGGACGTGCTCTCCGGCTGTGTGCTACGCTTGGAGCCGAGCGACTCATCATTAGCGAGCACTCACGCAACGATCTCTTCCAGAAGATCCTGCTGAATGTCAGCGCCGATGACATACACTATGCCCTCCGTGTGGGCGAGGTGAACTGAAATTATTCTCTGGACAATTCTGAATAGGGTTTTAAGTTTGATTTTGATTATTTACGTTTGAAAAAGATATTAGTTTTAAGTTTTTTAGTTAAAGTTCATTCTTCATTTCAAGTATTCTTTGTCTAGGTTTATTTAACACTCACATCGACTCATTCACGACTCCCTGTTTCTAGCTCAATCGATCAATCCACATATATTGTATTAATTCTTAAATTAATTCCTATTTTAAGCGTCATTTTTAAACAATTTAAAGTACAAACTCGTTACTAAAAAGACCAAATAAAACACCAGCACAGTGTAACAGTCGTAGAGAGCCTTTGGCGAAAAGACGGAATAGATGAAGAGGTGATAGCGAAAGCCGACCATCAGGCAGAGGTAGAAGGCCGCCGGTAGCATGATGAGTGCAGCGTAGAGCGGAGCTATTAGCGAGTCGGCGGCAATGGAATAGGGTGGCTGGAGCTGCATGATTCCCACGCTACGCAGATCGGAGCGTAGCGTGTGGACAATCAAGTAGAGGAATGCGTGTATCTCCGCACCATACGTGTTCAGGGTGACAAAGAGGCCCACGATGACGGGATTGTAACTGGTCTGTCCTATATATCCGGGTGTAAGGTCAATGGTGGACAGGCTGTTCGAGTTGCCCTGGTAAAAGTAAAACATTCTGGCCAAGAATATCGTCATGATGATCTTGTACACGTGCACCAAGCGAACTGAAAACTTGCGGGTACTGGTACCAAAGACATCGCAAAGCTTGTAGGTTTGCTGCAGGGCCACCAGGAGCACGGGCAGCAGTAGAATGTTTTGCACCTTTTGCAGGAGGGCAGCTAGCAGCAGGGAGCTGGTCAGGTTAGTCTGGAGCAGCTGGAGCACCACGCTTCTTGTGCCCAAGGTCGGATGTGCTTGAGGCAAGGCTTCCCGATAGCCCAGACCCAGAACCAGTGCCAGACAGCACCAGAAGACCACCAGCGTGGGCACCATTAATTTGGAGGCCAGATACGGTGCCAGTTCGATGAAGTGCACCTGGCCATTCAGCCCGCGAAAGCAGTAGACCATACACAGAGCCGCTCCACTGGCCACCGACTGCATCCAGCTGGCGCTGTGCCGATGCAGGCGTGCCCACAGCAGCAACAATGAGAAGATCATGATGGTGCTCCGGATGGCCTGGAGCCGGTGGATGTACCGCATCAGAGTGAGCAGCATCAGCATCACAAACACCTTACGCATCTGCCACAGGCACGTAGAGGCAATCGTGTACAGATGCCGTCCATCCAACTCCACATTGGTCTTTGTGATGCGTCGTCGCAGGGTCCTAAAGGCTGTCAGCAGGATGAGGCTGTTGCCCAGGTAATACCAGGTCTTGTATTCGAACTCTATGAACGAGGAGGAGCCCAGTGTCAGGGTGCGTATGGCGAAACAGGCAAGCAGAGGTAGCGGTAGTGGAATGGATAGTTTCAGGCGACGTGTATATATCGGAGGCAAGGCAATCTTGAGCAGCGCCTGCGCCACATCGATTGTCAGATAAACGGCGATGGCCAGGGGAATCAATAGCATTAAGCTCTGCAGCCAAGAGCTGGTCCGAATGATGTCCAGGGCATGACTAGTCATGTTCACGAGAACAGCTGCTATCAGGGAAACAACCAGCTGAGCCACGTTCAAGCTGTCCAGGTGGAGTTGTTCGGTCAAGTCCAGATACAGGACACTGATCATCATGTGCAGGGATGCCGCTGTGGTCAAAGCTAATCCCAGGGCTATAAAGCCGTAATCAAATTTCACCAGAGACTCGGAGAGCAGGCCGGAAATCTCTCGTGCCACCCTCATGTAATTGAGCTTGGCATTATGGTACAGAACCTGGCTAGCTCCACTTCCATCCCCATCTCTCATTTGAAAAATCAACTTCTTGTGCACCAGCGTGGCATTCTGATACCAGGTGTAGTAATCTATAAAATCCATAATTAGATTAGAGAAACACAGAGAAGAATCTACGCATGCTCACCACTCCATTGGACCCTGTCGTGACCGAACTTCACCCGGGCTTTGTTGAGCAAATGGTGGGCATTGTAGAAGTAGGCGTACAACTGGTGTTCGAGGGACAGCGATTGCAGCATCTCTGGTATCAAGCTGCCTATAGATAGCGTGGGTATCTCCACAGACAGAAGAACGGAGAGAGTGGGGGCCAGGTCAATCTGATTGTACGTCTTTGTGACGGTTCTAAAAATCACAAAAAGCTTGATTGGAAAGGATCTAATTAGAACCTCGCATTGCTTACGTGGCCTTGCTGCAGTTCTTGGAATAAAGATAAAGTGGCACCAGAGTTTCGGCCGGCGTATTGCCGCCATGTCCTCCGCCATCGGCCATTCCGTGGTCACCAGTCAACATCAGCAGATAGTTGGGAAGGTTCTACATTAAAAATAACGTGTTATTTTGACATATTTTGGATATTCATGTGGCCTAAACCAACCTTGTGCTCCAATATCTTCTGCACTGCCTCATCCATTTCCTTTAGCTTGAGGTTAATCCTGGGACTGGCATTGCCCTCGACATGACCAATGTGGTCCAGTCCCAGATAGTGAAGAATCAGTAGCGACCAGTCACTCTTTTCCAATTCGGATTCCAGCACCTTGGTTACATTTCTATCGCCTTCGTAGAAATCGTTGACGTAAAACGAATCGTTGTTCTCTGCCCTGCGCGTAAACTCGCTGGGAAAAAGATTCACCCAGGTGTGGTCACCGGCAAAGGACACCACTCGATTCTTCTGCTTCAAGCGGTGCAGAATCGAGTCTTCCACCTGCTCCGTGTGGCCCACGTTGAGGGCTATGTCTATAAAGTTAGACAGGGTGCCGGTGGTGATGCTCTTCAGGCGCGGCATCGTCACCGTCGGTATGTCCACATGGAGGGTGAGCTTTTCACAGGCCCTGGAATGTGCCACCGGCATGGACGTGGCATCGGGAAAGTCGTCACGCAGCGCGTCGACCAGGAACAGTATGAAGGAATCGTAGGCAGGGGGTGGTGGCTCCAATCTGCAGAAGGGTGACACGCCTTATCAGACCCTTATCTCACGTTATTCATTAATAAAACTCACTTTACGCCGTGCAATGTGGTGGGCCGGCCCTCGGGCACTGTGCTGTCCTTCTCCGCCGCCGAATAGGAGGCCGGAAAGAAGCCGATCAGAAAGAGCACGGCTCCGAGGAGGAACAGGCTAAGCATGCCGAGGGTGTACCCCAGGCGACTCTTGTGCTGCTCCATATTTTTGTTTTCATTTCTTTGAGCTCCCGCTCCACCAGCAACAACCAGTGTGACCGAAGTTTTTCGCCAGACAGCTGAGTCAAGCCGATTACCGGCATAATTTGCTCTGAAAGTTATCGATTGTTGTTTGCCATGGGCGTAGGGCGAAAATGGGTCTGTTATTTGAGTGCCACAAATTCGTTATAAAATATAAAAAAAAAAAAATTAATAATAACATAAAATAATAATATAATAAAATTATAATTAAATCATGTAATATAATGATATATAAATATATTTTTCAATTAATTTTATAATTTAATATAAATTTAAGTACATAATATTTTATTAAATTATTTTACTACTACTACTAAAACTATAAAAATATTAAAATAATTAATTTAAAAGAACATTTTTACTGGCAAGATATAACATCAAACCCCTTTCACAATTTTTTCTGCCTACGCCCATGACACTGCAAATGGACGGGATATAAACAACAAACGTAAAATTCTTGGCTTGCATTCTTAACTAAAAATGGAAACGTGCGGCCTTATTTGCGTGAGCGGGGACTACGAAAAGTTCCTGGTGCGCTGCTCCCAATGCCCCACGGACATGGAGCTGGCCCAGTGGCCAGAGTTCGTCCTGCACTTTCGGAACATGCACACCGCGCCGCTAGAGCAGAAAGTCTTTAAAGAGGAAATACCTGAAAAATGTGACCTGGAATTCCAAGATGAAACATTTGAGGTGGAAGAAGTTATGGTGGATGATGACTCGAGCACGGAGGAATCAAATACAGAAGAAGATATGAATGTAGAAGCACTCGACTCTTCGCCTGATGAGGCAGAGGAGTCAGAGGCCTCCGGTGGCTCAGATCAGGAGGAGGAACTCTCTGAACCTCCTGGTGAGAATGCCGACACAAGCCCTACACCCTCTTATAAGGTAAGGTCAAATACATTCCAAAGGCTAAGCTTAACAAACTTTTTGTGCCTGCAGTTCCGTCCCACCTTCTTTCGCCGGGATCCTCGGACGGTTAAATTCATAGAGCTCTACAAGGCACATCCGTGCCTCTGGGATTCCAACCACAACGACTACAAGGAGCCCAGTGCACGCTCCAATGCGTTAAAACAGATGCTTACTTCTTTGGAAACAACTGTGTCAGTCGTTCTTAGCGAGGTTAATTTAAAAATGGCCATCAAAAAGTTGCATACACAGTACAACACCGTTCAGAAGCGGGTGCTGGCGAAAAAGCAAAAGCCCCAGTCCCTGGCCTACAATGTGTACACTCTCTGCAGCTTCCTAAAAGACAGCCGCATGCCGGAAGAAGCCAACCGGGAACAGGAAGAAGCTGGCAAAGGAGGAAAGATTCAGGCAAGAACATTAGCATATGATTTCATGGAGTAACAACTAATCGTATTTTTAACTTACAGCTAGATTTTTCAAAGAAGAACAAGCTTACCACGGAGCTGATACAGATGTACTTAAAGTTTCCACAGCTTTACGATCCCGAGCACAAGGAGTTCTCCAGCATGAGCTCCCGGAAGCAAGCATACGAAATTATGGCGGAGGAGATCTCAGTGCCCAATGAGGACGTCAGCAGTGATGACATATTTCGCGCAATCAACTGTCTTCGTCAGTGGTACTACAAGACCATTAAGGTTGCCACTAAAACCGGGGCGGAAACGTTCTATTCGCAGATGTGCCAGTTTCTGCCGCCCAAGTTCAAACAGCGGCTCGTCTGCGAGATTTGCCACTCGGTTGTGTCCTCTGATCTAGTACTGCAGACGCACTTCTTTAAGGCGCACAACATCGGCGAGCTACCGTTCAAGTGCACCCAATGCAGTCGCAGTTTCATTGGCCGAGCAGAGCTGTCCAATCACATGCACCGTGTTCATATCGGAAAGACCCACAAATGTAGCCACTGCGAGCGAACTTTTGCCGTGATCTCGGATCTACAACTCCACATTCGTACCCACACGGGCCACAAGCCCAACGTGTGTGAGCAATGCGGCAAGGCCTTCCGGCTGCGGTCACAGATGAAGCTCCACGTCACGGCCATTCACGACAAGATTCGGGCCTTTAAATGTACCATGTGTCCCAAGGATTTCGTGAAGAAGGTCCATTGGTCTGATCACATGAAAAGCCACCTGAACATTCGCGACAAGATATGCACAGTATGCGGCAAGGGATTCACCAGTTGCCACTCCCTCATCCGGCACCGTCAAATCCATTCCGAGGTGAAGAAGTTCGTCTGCAAACTGTGCGACGCTAGATTCTCCCAATTTGTGGGCCTAAATTCACATATGAAGCGCACACACAATATTGTGCGCAACAAACAGCAAAAGGATGGCGAAGCAGTTAATGCAGAGAACTAACAATGGTTAATTAATGCTTCATAATACTTTACTTATTTTTATTTAATATTTAAAAATAAAAACATACGTAAAACACGTTGAACTTTCACTTAATATCATTTAATGGAATTTATTTAAAATATAATCAAATAAATAAATTTAAATAACGCGCCTCGTTTTCGACTTTCCTTCTTGCCGTTCCCCAACACTATGCACCCAGTGTTAAATAGCGTAAAACCCTAGTCATCTTCCAGTGTTGTAAATGATTCGAACGTAGAGAATAATAACAAGAATCTGAACGCATTGTTTTTGACAAGAAAAAGTGCATTTATTTGTGGCCGTACAGCATGGAGGTGTGCGGCAGCATATTAACCAACTCCAACTACCAGGTGTTCCGGCTGAAATGCCTATACTGCACGATAGAGAGCGAGCTGAAGGACTGGGAGGCGTTCACCGTTCACGTGCGGACGGCCCATTTCTGCGAGGAGGAGGAAGACTGCAAGGACACCGTCAAACTCGAGGGCGAGGGCGGCGATGCTTTCGCTGACTCGCAGGACTTCTGCTTCCCCAATGACTCCACGGACCAGCACATCGTCTATGAGCCGGACGAGCTGTTCGATGTGATTGAGACCGTGGAGGATGTCGGCGACGACCATTGGATAGTAACAGATGATCAGAAACAGGTAAAACCAGAGGTCAGAGGCTTGCATTTTAAACGTTTAACTGGAAAATTTTTACACACAATCCACAGGCGTTTGACAATACGAGTGATGACTTTTATTGGCCTGATCCCTCGGGCGAATTTCCAAATGATGTCAAACCCGATGATGCACCAGATACAACTCCTGTCACACTCTACCCTAAAAATGATCAATTTACGGACGACATGATCATATATGCTAGTGATTCCTCAATGTCCGGGCCCGAAGTGGTGGATATACCCAAAAGACCTGGTCGACCGCCGAAACGAAAGAGACCCGGTCAGGTTTATAAGGTAAGCAAATACATTTTCTCTAAAGATCCTAAACGAATTTGTATTTTCCTAGTTCAAAGTATCCTTTATTCGGAGCAATCCACGTGTGTTGCACCTTATACAAGCGTACAAAGACCATCCCTGCCTGTGGAATCCATCACATGAGCATTACACTGACGCAACTGTGCGTTCTAAGGCCTATGATGTTATAATGAAATACATGAACAGTCGGGCCAATGTGCTCTTCACCGTGGAGCAGCTGAAGAAAACCATCCAGGATCTCCACATCCAGTACACGATGGCTTGTCAGGCGAAGGAGAACGGCAAGCTGGTTGGCCTGGCAGCCCGCTACATGGCCAAGAGCGAGTACCTGGCAGTCTCGCCGAAGGTGCTTCCGAGGGAGGAAGTAGAGAATGATGAATTGAATGTGATTAAGGTAATATTGCTTTGGATTTGGCTTATAAGAATCCTCTTCCAATGGTTTCCATGCATTGCAGCTCAACTTTAAAACTGAGAACGTGATGACTACCGCATTTATAGAGACCTATGCCAACTATCCGCAGCTGTACAATCCCTTGAGCCCCGAATTCGGTTTTGTGGAGGCACGGGCAGTGGCCTACAGACAGATGGCCCAGGAATTCCAGGCAGTGGCCAAGGCGAACGAGACAGACATATATATTGCCGTCGGCAGGCTGCGTCGATGGGTTTACGATGCAATGCGTCGCCTAAAGTCCAAGGAACTGATCCAAAAGTGTACCCGGCAGGAGGTGGAGTATCTGCAATTGTGCAACTTTCTTCCCTCCAAGGGCTCCGAAAGTCAGATTCTCTTTTGTGAGTTCTGCGATAAGCGCTTTCACGGCGACTACAATCTGCTGGTGCACATGTATAAGGCTCATGCCGTGGGCGAATTGCCTTACCTGTGCTCCCTCTGTCCGCGTCGCTTCGACCGGCAGGTGGACATGGAGCGCCACAAGCTTCGCTCCCATTTCGAACGAAAGCTCAAGTGCCAGTACTGTGACAAGGTCTTTGCCGTCGACAACGACCTGAAGGCGCACACGCTCATTCACACGGGCGAGAAGCCGCACACGTGCAGCATTTGTGGCAAGAGTTTCCGCCTGAAATTGCTCCTCGATCATCACATCAATGGCTACCATTTGAACCTGAGGCCCTTTCACTGCGAGTTCTGTAACAAGAGTTTCCGCAAGAAGTTCGAGCTAGACAACCACATCAAGGGTCATTTGAACATTCGTGATAAAAAGTGTGAGCAATGCGACGCCACGTTCTATGATCATTCTTCACTCTCCAGACATCGCAGGACACACAAGTGATGGTAATACCCTCAGGCTTAGCTTTCTTTAAGTAATTGTACATTTGTTTCTTTTATTTCATAAACATGAAATAAACAATGAAATTTAATTGTTCATATTTTGAGGCTGCTAAAGCCTACTTTCTTTAAATTCTATTAGTATTCTATTAGTGCAAAGCTCCAGGAGGATTTGTATAGAGTTGGGAATTGGTGTTCTCGTAATAACGGCCTAATAACTCTATGTTTCTGTATTCGATTCAATCTAGTGTGCTGCCCTGCAGAACTGAAGCCTTAGATTTGGGTGTGTTTGATGCCAAATTTCCATTCCCCCATTATTTTCCACATTTATTTGGAATCTGGACTCAACCTCCTCAAGTGATTCGGCAAAAAAAAAAAAAATGTACTTATATTTAGCCACAATTTAGTATTAATTTAAGTTTTTAAGTAGCCAGTTAAATGACTTCCTTGACGAAATAAATAAATAAATAAATAAAAACATTAGTTGTATGGTCTAATTAATTAAGAGCAAACTGAAACAGAAGGTCTGACAGCTAGAAGTAAAGCAGATTCATTCTTATTTAATTCTAAATATATAAATACTTACTTTTAGGTTTAAATTAGACAGAAATTTACAATATAGGGAAGTGCTGTAACCAATTTATTATAAACTCAGCTATAAATAATGTGACATTAGGAAAATGCTTTGCTCTACTTCAATTTTCTTTAAGGATTCGTGGATTTCAAGTGAATCAATAAATAAAATGAAAAACATTAAACTGTTGGTTCCTTTTTACGGCACAACCGTAAAGTTTTTGGATCTCAGAAGCTCCACAAACTGGGCGGCTCCCTTGCCATTGGCCTCCTCGTAGTAGGGCAGCTCCTTGAGTCGCTCCAGCCAGAGGGCTATCTTCGGATACTTGGCCAGATCCAGCTCCAGAAAAACCCCAATCGAGGTGATGGTCGAGACAAGGCTGAAGTCGGCTATCGTCAGTTGGTCACCGGCCAGGTAATCATGCTCTAGAAAAGCCTCCACAAAGTCGTAGACCTGAGTGACGTGATCAACCTGCTTCTGGGGCAATGTGGCTTCGCCGTAGAAAAGCACCGGACGCGTGAGTCTTCTCAGGGCGCCTTCGAAAACCACACCCGACTCAAAGTGCATCAACTGGTCAACCTTGGCTCGCTGCAGCAGATCCTTGGGATACAGCTCATCGCTCGACGCATACTTCTCCACCAGATAGGCCATAATGGCGTGCGAGTCCCAGATGTAGTCATCGTCGTCCTGCAACAGTGGCACCGTGTGCTGCGGATTCTTCTTCGAGTACTCCTCGCCAAAGTTCTCCTTCTCAAACAGATTGACGAACAGATACTCGTAGGGCAGCTCCAGGGCCTTCAGGGTGAGCAAACAGGCCCGGGTGGGCGGACTGGCGTCCAGGCCGTACAGCGAGATCTTACCCATTCTTTAGCAGACTCTGAAGTGTGTGAATAGAGCGGCTCCGCAAAGGATTTATACTCGTCAGAAGGCATGGGAATTGTCAGCTTGGTGATGGGTTTTTAATTGAATCCGCCCATCCCCACAAGACATACATAGATATGAATAGGTTGGTGCTTCCTTAGTCACGCAAACAGTAAAAATAATTTGCAATTTAATTATTTACACTGTGCTTTAGCAATAATTTCAAGTTATTTTAAATTATACGAAAAATCTATATAATATTTATGTATTTTCCTGATAAAATCTTCACTCTTCTAAATATTTTTTAAAAATTATAATGCTTTAATTTTAATTTTCAAATAAGAAAAGCTTTCAAAGTCAGTTTAATTTCTTCAAATTCGGCTTTATTCAATAATTTTTGTTTTTAACTCGGGTTTTACAATTATATTTTTTGTTGTTCCCGTCTTAGTAATTTTTTTAAATGCATTTTTTTCAGTGTGGTCAATAAAAAGGATTTGTCAACAGCTTTCTTTAATTAAAAATTAATGCCACCAACACTGGGTAATTGTGGGAAAGAGGCCTGCTTACAGAAAGGTCAGCTGGCCCTTAAGCATGTCCACGTACTTGGTGGCCCCCGCCCCGTTGGCCTCCTCGTAATAGGGCAGCTCCTGGAGACGCTTCAGCCAGGCGGTGACCCTGGGATACTTCTCCGCATCAAGCTCCACAAAGGCCGGCAGCGAAGAGGCTGTTGCCGCACAACAGAAATCTGCCACTGTCAGGGTATCCCCGTTGACGTACGGATTCTCACCCAAAAAGGTCTCCAGGTGACCATAACCATCGCGTACATTGTCCGACTTCTCCTTGGGTATCTCCGTAACGTTGTTGTATAAGTATGGAGCACAGATGTTGCGCAGAGCCATGAACAGGACACTGGCATCAAAGTACAGACGCTGATTAACCTGGGAACGCTTCACCAGATCCTTGGGATATAGCTCGTCCGACTTGGCATACTTGTCCACCAGATAGCACACAATGGCGTGTGAGTCCCAGACCAGGACTCCGTCGTCGTCGAGGAGCGGTATGGTGTGTTGGGGATTCTTCTTCAGGAACTCCTCCTGGCGATGGTCGCCGGCCAGAAGATCCACTTCCTTGAACTCGTACTCCAGCTCCAAGGCACGCAGTGTCAGCTGGCAAGCCCTAACTGGGGGGCTGATGTTCATGCCGTATAGTACAATGCTCGCCATGATCTGATCCAAGCTCGATCTGCGGGGCCACCAAAGTGATGTTGATTCAAAGGTTTTGCGAGGTATTTATACGTTTCGAGGAGTAAGCACGGACCGGAGCTTTGCACTTGGTTCTGTAAGATGATCCTGGGTGGGGCTCCAGACCAAAGTACATTTCTATAAGCTTCCGCTGATGAAATACTTTTCGATAAGAGGAGGAGTGTGGGTTAATGTTGATTCTAGGAAGTTAGGGCAGGGTTTTGTTGTTCCTTCTAAAATGCTTGAAATATCTACATAATAAATTACAGAAATTAACAAAAAACAAAACTATATCAATGATCAGTCTTTCCAAAACGTAAAGGAATAACATTATTTATAAAGCGATTTTCATACCTGTATATACATATGCTCAAGTGCCCTTTAAATTTATATTTTTTATGTAAATGAATTCAGTTTTTTAAGTAGTAGAATTTCAGAAGAATTTTTTAATTGATTAGCCTCAAATATATATAAAAATGTTTCAAATAAAATTATTAAAACTAAACAATTGTGAATTTTTTGCTCTTGACAAAGTCAACGATCGTTGACAAACGGGATCCATTGGCCTCCTCGTAATAGGGCAACTTCCTGATGCGCTGCAGCCAACTAGCCAGCTTGGGGTACTTTGTGGCATCCACGTCGTGGATGAGCATGATGGTAGACAGTCCCGCAATGATGTGGAAGTCGGCGATGGTCAGCTCTTTTCCAGCCAGGAAATCGTTGCTTTCCAAGAACAAGTCAAGTGTCTTATAGGCCTCTTCGAGAGCATCGAACCTGGCCCTGGGTATCTCGGTCTTGCCTTCCCTCAGCGGCGTGGTGAGGGCTCGTCCGGTGCCAATGAGCACGCTGGAGTCATAGTGCAAGCGCTGATCCACAATGGCCCGCTTTTGCAGATCCTTGGGATATAGAGAATCGTCCTTGCCGTATTTGCTGACCAGGTAGGCATTGATGGCATGGCTGTCGTTGATGAAGAAACCATCGTCCGCCAAGGTGGGAACCGTGTGCAAAGGATTGATCTTCAGGTATTCCGGTTTCAGATGCTCCCCGGTCATCAGATTGACGACCTTGTACTCGAAGTCCAGACCCAGGGCATTGAGGGTGAGGAGTACCGACCGAACTGGTGGACTGCCATCGATTCCGTAGAGAGTGAGTTTTCCCATTATCCTGGCTGTGACTAGGTTTTTTTTCTGCTGGTAGTTAGTAGTAGTTGCTGAGTTAGTTACTCGATGTGGTGACCAAAACACTCTGTGGCTTTTATACCCGGGGAGGTCTCTTAAGTTAAGAGAGTTTCGCAGAGCTGTGATGACTCTGCAGTTAGCCGGGTGCGATGACATCAGTCCATAAGGTCTGTACTCTTGGAACAAACGAACTGACACTGACGTAAGAGAGCTTTAATGATGTGGCGTTCCAAAAGCTCTTACCCCCGCTCTTCGAGAAATTTTCAAAAGGTAAATATATGTTTTTGTTTTAATGCTAGGTCTCATTAATGCGACAAAAAAAAAAAAGAAAAACGAAGTAACAATTATATCGATTGGACCTCCTTTGACAAGGTCCTTTCGATTATTTATAACTGTTATATTTACTTCATTGTCATGATTAAAGGTTAATACCTTAAATAAAAAAGAAATTACCTTTTAAAGGGAAAATTGATCATACAAATTTATATAAAAGATATCTTTTAGATCATTAAATAAAACAATATTGAATAAAAACAGAGAGAATTTTAACTAAAATCTGGTCTTATCAGTTACGACTAACACAATAATTATGGTTTATTAGTGAAAAAGTCTATGGGAATTTTATAATAACAGGTTTGTAATAAATTGGGGGACTGACTACAGACCATTATATAACAGCTTTAAGATGTATTTTTCGACACCAACCCCAATTACACATAAAAAACTTTAAAAATAAATATATGACGCACATAATTAGTTTTTATTGTTTTATTAAATAAAAACGTTAGGCATATTTTTCATTTATTGTGTCTTTCAATACATGACTAATGGAACTCCATAATCATTGCCTCAAAACAAGCAATATCTTTTTATTGACAAGTATTATTCATGCTGAGATTACCAGCTAAAAACACTTCAACTTAAACTATCTTTCGATTAAAAAGATTAAATATAGCAATTAAATACCTTGCAAACATGACCAACATTATTTCTTCCTTTTTTTTACTCCCTCCAAACAAGTCAAGACTGATAGTAATTTCATTTTATGAGCAAGTACAAGTTTCGTAATCTAAAGTCGATAAGGATATCATATGGGCCAAGCAAACAAACACCTGTCATAATTGGTCAGCAGTCCCTCTTATCTTCTTATCTCAACACAAAGTTTGGACTGATAGAAATGAGTAAAGCCGTTCAAAAGTCAAGTGTTTGTTTAAATATTTAAATATTATATTCTTGAGAGTATTGCTATGCGGTATCTCAGACAATTGTGAAGTTCTTGCTCTTGATGAACTCGATGATCTGCTGCGATGGGGAACCGTTGGCCTTCTCGTAGTAGGGCAGCTCCTTGATCCGCTGGACCCAGGCGGCGAGCTTGGGATACTTGCTGGCATCCACGGGCAGGAACACCACAAAGCCGGTCATGGCGGCAGTGACATGGAAGTCGGCAATGGTCAGACTGTCCCCAGCCAGATAATCGCCGCTCTCCAAGAACAAGTTAAGGTTCTTGTACACTCCCTCCAAAGCATCGATCCTGGCCTGAGGGATCTCGGAGTTGTTCTCCCAGAAGAGCGGATGGGTGATGGCCGTGCCAGTGGATGTGACCACGCTGGAATCGTAATGCAGGCGCTGGTCGACGATGGCCCGCTTCTGCAGATCCTTGGGGTACAGGGAATCGTCCTTGCCGTACTTGCTCACCAGGTACGAGTTGATGGCGTGGCTGTCGTACAGGTAGAAGCCATTGTCATCCAGGGTGGGCACAGTGTGCAGGGGGTTCATCTTGAGGAACTCCGGCTTCAGCTGCTCCTTGGCTGGAAGATTGACGATCTTGTAGTCAAAGTCCAGACCCAGGGCGTTCAAGGTGAGGAGCACCGATCGAACTGGCGGACTGCCATCGATTCCGTAAAGCGTAACTTTTCCCATATCGTTGCTGTTTCGATGTTTGCTGGTAAGTGTTCCTATATCGCCAACATCTAGGGTTTATATACCCCCCGAACGGTGGCGTGTTCTCTTCAATTAAGAGAGCTTTGCCGCGCTGTGATGACAACGCAGTTTGTCCCACACACAAAATGTGTGTTTGGGAACCCACACCATATCTCTTTGCTGCCAGCTTTATCGGTCAACCCACTGATTACCTATACAGAGAGGCTATGTATTACGAAATAGTATATACTCTCTCTTGACGTAAGAGCGTTTGGGCGAGTAAAGCTCTTTGATTGGAATGTTTCAGACGAAACTCTTGGCCCCCCGAGGCTAATTATTTGTTTATCAAGCGATAAGGCCTAAAATGCTGCCTAACAATGAATCAGCATTAAATATATTGGTAACAAACAAAATAAGTGTAGACCAAACAAACAGAAATTGGGTACAAATTTCTATAGGCCTTTAAATGGGTCCCAGATAAGAGAAAATATAATGGAAAACAACAGATCAGCTCTCTCTGATTTTAAAGCTTTGCTAGATTTATCTAAGCTTGGCTCTCGATCTCTTCTAAAAATAGCTGAGCAGAAGCTCTATTAAAATGTATGCATAAATATTTATACATGCATATATTAGGCTAATAAACTGGAATTAAATTTAAGTATTCAAATCTTTTGCTTTTGGAATTGTTTGATTTATTTAAAATTACAATAAACATTCCTTAAATAACATTACTTCTCTAGAACTAAACGAGGTCGTAGAGCAGCAATGTACTTGTTTAATCCCCTCAGGCTATCCTCCTCGTAATGGGGCAACTGGGTTAAACGATTCAGCCAGGCCCTGACCTTGGGATACTTCTCCGAGTCCAGTTCCAGGATAGCTTCCAAAGCGGAGGCAGTAGCCCCACAGCAGAGATCAGCCAGTGTGAGACTAGAGCCCGTCAAGTAGGGATTATCTCCAAGAAACCTCTCCAGGTGGGCGTAGCCATCCTTGATGTTATCCACCTTTTCCTTGGGCACCAGGCTAACTTGGTGATAGAAATACGGCACACTGACATTCCGCAAGGCCATGAACAGGACACTGGCATCGAAGTAGAGACGCTGATTCACCTGGGAACGTTTCAGCAGATCCCTGGGATATAGCTCATCGGACTTGGCGTACTTGTCCACCAGATAGCAAACAATGGCATGTGAATCCCATATGAGAGCTCCATTGTCATCCAGTAGCGGCACCGTATGCTGCGGATTCTTTTTCACGTATTCCTCCGAATGGTGCTCCCCGGCCAAAAGATCCACCTCCCTGTATTCGTAGTCCAAGCCGAGGGCTCGCAAGGTCAGTTGACACGCCCTGACTGGGGGACTTATGTCCAATCCGTACAACACGATGCCCGACATCTGATCTGCTCACAAACAAGCCACAAGTTCTACTGAAACCACAGGCGACTGCAGGCGGCAGACCGACTCTAAATGAAACTAAATAAACAGCAATTTGTTTGCCTCTCGCAGATAGCAATCTAAAATTTTTACACTGAAAATAGAGAGTGGGATGTAGGAAGTATTAATTTTATAATTATTATGTTCAGATTTTTTTTTAAGTTCCAGAAAGGGTTGACAACCACCTTTTCAAGTCCTAAAGAGACGCGAATATGAATTAAATAATTGTAAAGAAAATACTATTATTAATTTAATGAAAATTGTTTATTTTTATTATATTTAACAGGGGTAATACGTTTTATTTGGATTTATCTGTTGTTTACAACTACTTCTGGTCCCCCACTTTGGTCCACTGGCTGCGAAGGTAGTTGACATAGCCCTGGGCTGGCTCCTCATCGATATCCTTGTAGTAGGATATCTCGTTAAGGCGATCCAGCCAGGCGGTGACCTTGGGATATACAGTGGGTTCGATATCCACAGCTGCCTTCAGTGCACCGACAGTGGGTCCGGCAAGGGTCAGCGTGTCGCCCACCAGGTATTTTCCACTGTCCAGGAAAGTCTCCAGCAACTTCACACCCCGGTGGGCACTGTCCAGCTTTTCCTGCGGCAACTCAGTAACCCCATTCAACCAGAAGGGAGCAACTAGGCTGGCCAGTGAGGCATAAATGACGCTGGCATCGAAGAACAGGCGCTGGTCCACAATGGCCCGCTTGACCAGATCCTTGGGATACAGCTCATCTGACTTGCCATACTTGTCCACCAAGTAGGTGGCAATGGCGTGCGAATCCCAGAGGTAGGTGCCATTGTCGTCCAGCGTGGGCACCGTGTGCTGTGGGTTCATCTTCAGGTACGCCTCCTTCAGGTGCTCGCCCTCCTGCATATTCACCTCCTTGTACTCGTACTCCAAGTCCAGGGCTTTGAGCGTCAGCTTCACGGCCCTCACACACGGACTCATATCAACGCCGTACAAAACGATACCCGTGCTAGACATTTTTAAGAGTGTTTGGAGCAACGCTTCTATATAGACTGATCTTTTCGGCGTTTCGTTCTCATTTTGTTTACCGAAAGCTTTGCCCACCCGAAAGGCAGAAATATGCTGACATAATATAGCGAAAGCTTTTGTGTTTCTGTATGTTATCGTAAGATTTTGATTTATTTATTTCATCAGGACAATCACTTCTTACCACACATGTTATATTTTCTAGAATATCATATGAACGTATACAAAATAGAGACAAAACCATTTAATTATTTTCATACAATGAGTTTTTATTAATCAAATAATTTGTGATTAAATAAGTAAATATATGAAGTGACACATAAAAGTATAGTTAAATGTTCATATTCCTATAAATATTATTTTTGTCCGCGATTACTGGTCCCCCAGCTTGGTCCACTGGCTGCGGAGAAAGGTGACATAGCCCTGAGCGGGCGCCTCATTGATCTCCTTATAGTAAGAAATCTCGTTGAGGCGAGCCAACCAGGCGGTGATTTTTGGATAAACCTCGGGATCGATGTCTAGTATGGCAGGCACGGCGCTGACAGTGGGCCCGGTGCACAAGTCGGCCAGGGTCAGCGAGTCACCCACCAGGAATTTTCCATTACTAAGGAAAGACTCCAGCAACTGCAGACCCCGATGAATAGTGTCTAGCTTTTCTTGGGGAACCACCGTGATCCCATCAATCCAGAACATCTTGCTCACGCTGGCTACGTTGGCATAGATGACGCTGGCATCGAAGTACAGGCGCTGGTTGACGATGGCTCGCTTGATCAAATCCTTGGGATACAGCTCATCCGACTTGCCGTACTTGTCCACCAAGTAGGTGACGATGGCGTGCGAGTCCCAGAGGTAGGTGCCATTGTCTTCCAGCGTTGGCACCGTGTGCTGGGGGTTCTTCTTCAGGTACTCCTCCTCAAGATGCTCGCCCTTCTGCAGGTTGACCTCTTTGAACTCGTAGTCCAGGTTGAGGGCCTTGAGGACGAGCCTGACGGTCCTCACACAGGGACTCATGTCTGTTCCGTACAATACGATACCCGTGCTCGACATTATTATTCCGTTGTGTTTATAGCAACGTTTCTCTTACGACTGTTCTTCTCCCGGACTGATGTGTAGAGATATATATTAGCTTTTCGCTGAATGCGTGAGCATAGCGGCTTGAAAAGTTGAAAAAGCTTTGGCTTGAGTTAGTGCTTGGAATAGTGACCAGCTTATGTATGGAGAATAACAAGTAATTTACCTATCAATTTTGTAATAGAAGATAGTAATTTACCTATCAATTTTGTAATAGAAGACAAGTTATTTAAGTAGTTTTTAAAGATTTACAGCAATATTAAGGAAATATGACGTTAGAAAATAAATTGTACTCTTATGTCTGGGTTACAACAGTAGATAGAGCTTTAAAAATAAAGGACAATACTCTAAAAATTTGTTAATATTTCCACTAAAAAAAGCTTTGGGTAGAATGAGTGCTTGTAATGTAATTTTCAAACAAGAATGGAAAACTCATTAATTATAATTTCAATATTTCATATAAATTTAATGAATGATAAACCCTTAAAAATATTGAAAATGAATGGAAATATTAAACATGTAAATGACGTGATTAATTATGGCCTCAGTGCAGGATTCACTTGTTTCCCAGTTTGGTCCACTTGCTGCGAAGGAAGGCAACGTAGCCCTGGACCGGCCCCTCGTTGATATCCTTGTAGTAGGCAATCTCGTTGAGGCGATTCAGCCAGGCGGTGACCTTGGGATAACCGGTAGCTTCGATATCCACAGCAGCTCGCAGGGCACTGACCGTGGGGCCAGTGCACAGATCGGCGACGGTGAGGGTGTCTCCCACCAGGTATTTTCCGTTGCTCAGGAAGGTCTCCAGCAGGGTGAGACCACGATGGATGCTGTCCAACTTTTCCTGGGCCACCTCCGTATTGCCATGTACCCAGAAGGGAGCAACCACACCGGCTAGACCAGCGTAGATAACACTAGCGTCGAAGTACAAGCGCTGATCAATGATGGCCCTCTTGGCCAGATCCTTGGGATACAGAGCATCCGATTTGCCATACTTGTCCACCAAGTAGGTAGCAATGGCGTGCGAGTCCCAGAGGTAGGTGCCGTTGTCGTCCAGCGTGGGCACCGTGTGCTGTGGGTTCATCTTCAGGTACGACTCCTGGAGGTGCTCCCCCTTCTGCAGGTTGACCTCTTTGAACTCATAGTCCAGATTGAGGGCCTTGAGGACAAGCCTGACGGTCCTCACACAGGGACTCAGGTCTGTTCCGTACAATACGATGCCAGTGCTCGACATTTTGTGGTGTGTTTACTGAAAAGGTTCTATTACGACTGATCCGCCGGGCAGTAGCTATATACTGTTGTCCGGAGAGCTTTTCAGGAAAGAGAGAAATCTAAAAGCTTTTCAATAAAAATTTGTTTGTAATGCTGACCAAGACTCTCCTCAGTCTCTATCAGTATTTTCAATATGTTTGATTTCATCATTGGTTTAGCTCTGGAACAACCTTAGTTTGCTTTATCTTTGTGGGTTGTGAAATTTGAGAGCTGATAGATTGAGGTAGGCAGAATCATAGATGGTATGACATATGATTGTTTATATTTTTATCAGAGTGCAAGTCATGCTGAGGGTGCTTATAAACTATTAAACAAAAGCTACTGTTAAAAGCTTTTTCCATTTGTTTGTTTAGTTTAAAGAGAGGAGAGTATAGGATGAAATATGGGTAGAACATGCATTTAATATGTGAATGTATTCTGTGTATAGATAAATGTATATATCTGTGTAGAAATAGAATTATCTACCTTTTTGCTTACTCAAGTAGAACACATTTATGTAGATATAATTTTGTGGTAAAATAACTTTTTTTGAGAAGCTTGAAAGTTATTGTTTAGACTCTGAAAAGCTTTTCTAACTTATTGTTCAAGTTAGGCTAACTTATGCCTCTATATACTCATTGTTCTCGATTTGTAAGTTTTAATTAATGGATATTGGGAAGATTTAAATGAATATTATTTGATAATTTACATAAAAAGTTAATTTTACATGTGAGCAAAATGAGGTTAGCAATCATAGTTATTTTCAAGACGACTTTATCCATATTCTTTGGTGTTAATTAAAGCAGAACTTAAGCCACTTTAAACTATTCCAATTTTAAGTTTAGAAATATTTATCACCGTAAAAAACTGACCCCCTTGAGCCTCCACCCATGGGTGGGTACATATAAATCACAGGCGACGTTGATCAAATATTGACGCAGCTATAGATAACCGATCCGAGTGGCGAGGGGGGACCTGGTAGCGACTTATCGCCGGCATTAATAAACAATCAAGCAAAACTTAAACTTGCAGCATTATGACGTCTTTGTGATAGTAATCAAGAAGCCAAGTTGGTATCTAATCTTATCTAGCGTGAAGTTGGAAATCTGTTTTTAGTGGCTGACAGCAGTCGTGGGTGCTTCTGCTTAGTTCTGTTTCGAATCTCATAGAAGCAACCAAAGTTTTCAAATGGTGATCCCAATTCTATATGGTACCGAGAGCAGTCCCCCGGTCCGGGCCGTTCTGCTAACCCTGCGCGCCCTGCAGCTGGAGCACGAGTTCCGGCCACTGGACATGCTGGCCGGCGAGCACTTGGAGCCGGAAATGTTGCGCAAGAATCCCCAGCACACGGTGCCCATGCTGGAGGACGGTGAGGCCTGCATTTGGGACTCGCACGCCATCATTGGGTATCTGGTGAACAAGTACGCCATGTCGGACGAGCTGTATCCCAAGGATCCTTTGCAGCGGGCCGTGGTGGACCAACGGTTGCACTTCGAGACCGGTGTCCTCTTCCATGGCATCTTCAAGCAGCTGCAACGGGCAATCTTTAAGGAGGGTGCCACCGAGGTGCCCAAGGATCGGCTGGCTGAGTTGCGCGATGCCTACGCTCTGCTGGAGCAATTTCTGGCCGAGAATCCCTACTTGGCTGGCCCGCGGCTGACCATTGCAGATTTTAGCATTGTGGCCACGGTGAGCACGCTGCACCTGAGCTACTGTCCGGTGGATGGCTCCAAGTACCCCAAGCTATCCGCCTGGCTGGCCCGGCTTTCGGCTTTGCCCTTCTACGAGGAGGACAACTTAAGAGGAGCCCGAGAGCTGGCTGACCGAATCCGCGCCAAGCTGCCCAAGCAGTTTGACAAGCTCTGGCAAAAGGCCTTCGAGGACATCAAGAGCGGAGCGGGAAAACAGTGATCAGGCATGAAGGCCACCTCTAATTTCTACTGCTAAAGTTAATATTTGTGGATTAGTTTTCATTGATATTAAAGTTTGATCTTTCCCCAAAAACAAATACATATTTTTTTAATTTTAAAATATTGGGATTCTGGTGAAGGCTACCAATTAAAAAAAATAGGAAGTTCAATGGTAATGGAACGAATTGGGAAAACCAAAATGAGCGACACACACGCACAGTAATGACAGATATTTGATCTTATATGTGGGAAAATGATATTAAAAGAAAATTATGAAATAAAAGAAATTTTTATAAATAAAATATAAGCGTTTAACAAAATAAAATTAGATAAAGGAAGAAGGCATAAAGGATACTTCCAATTTCTACTCTTCAAGTTGATGAAACATTTAATACTTTTTTGGGCTCTAGATTTTGTAGAATTTATATATTAAAGTATGCCTTTTCCCAAAAAACATAATTTTTTAATTTTAAGTTGTGGTTTTTGGCGACCTTTTCTTGGTTTATATGCTGTTGAGCCGGCTTGAGGTCAGGGAGGGGGATGGAGTATCAACATAAATAAAAAGTTTTTTATTCAGTTTGGTCCGATATATTTCGAATTCCAATATTCCAAAAAATAGTAATTTCAAGGTTAACCGAATGATATACCAGAGCGACTTGGGGCGAGAATATACCTCACACAGTAATGAAGCTTTTTTGATTTTATATATGGGAAAATGAAATTAAAAGAAAATTGTAAAAAAAGAAATAAATAATTGAAAAAGAAATAAATAAAATATAAGCGTTTAACAAAATAAAATTAAATAGAGGAAGACAATCTTTAAAATTGCATTTCAACCGAAACCAAGACTTTGCTCTCCAAGCAGTTGGACGAGCACTGAAGGCACATATTTCTTATATAGAAGAACATCAAATAAAAAAAAGTGAAACAAAAAATAAAATAAAATCAAATTTAAGAGTATAAAATTAAGGTAAGCCAGTCAATAACCTTGAAATATGCAAAGCCAAGCAACGACTGCCAGTTTCTAAAAGAGTTGCTTTGTTTTTATAGGACTTATTTTGAAGTATAGGTGCCGGGTTACTGAGTTTATTAAATTTCGATATTTAGAAATCCATTTAGAGCGCAAATATTTGAATTCTACACAGAGATTACACACAACTAGTCTTAAAACCAGAAGAAGCAATTTCTTTTAAGTGAATTTTGAATAACAATTCTATAGTTACTTCCCCAATTTTAGAAAATAACTGAAAAAATATCCAGGAAAAATATAAATACAAAATAATTATTCCAAGTGAAGAACTACACAAATTATGTTTTTCAAGAGAGTTCTTGGAACTGAGCACCTGGCCGCTTACGGCTTCAACAGATTCCCCGAATTGCCCTCCTTTGTCTATATACATACCTATATTTATTTGAATAAAGTTTACCCCAACCCAGAGGCGAGGTGGAGAGTGCATTTCCAATGGCAACGCAGCCAAAAGTTTACAACTTTTTTGCGCTCATTAAAATTATAAAATTTTCCCCTCTACAAAGCGACACAAAATAGAGGAAGACAAGTGGCGCGGAGCGCGCAGTGGAAGGAGGGAGTGAAAAGCGCAAAGTTTTCCTGTGCCGTGTCGTGCATGCTAAAGTTGTTAAATCATAATTAATTTATGACGGCGCCATCCGCCGAAGCAGCTCCTTCCTCTCTCTGCCTGCCCTTCCCGGAGTTCGCCTCTTATCTACACTTGGCCCCACTCCGTCGTCTGGTCCCCAAAAGGGCCGCGCCGTCGTTTAAAATACTCTTAAAAAGGAGCCCAGGCTCGTCTAAATACCTGAAGGGAGTGGTCTGTTTCCAAACCCCCCCAAAAAAAAACGGAAGTCCTGGCAGAGATGCCGCCGTGAGTCACGCAAATAATGGTCACTATGTTAAAAAAAAAATTATTTTGTATATTATATATTTTTTTTTTCCATTTTTAAGCATTTTCGCCAACTTAATGCCAAATCGGATTGATTTAATATTAATAAATCGAGCTAGATCACAATTATATATTTTTATTTTGCAAAAAAAAACAGACTACCAGACTATGAAAGGACTATGGAATGAATATTTTTATTTTTAAATTTTATTTTTAATTTTAAACTAATTTTCAGGAAATCACAACATTCCCATTTGATTATTCTTTTCCTCAACTGCCCTAAAAAATATTCAAAATAAATATATTCGCGCAATTTTATGTACTTTTCCTATTTAAGTGGACTCAAAAACGAATAGAAATCGTGACTTGGTGGCCATCACAGGGTCTTACCTTGCCTCATTGCAACGGCTATGGCGATGGAATGGTGGCAGGCAAACTAATTGGTTTAATTTCAACTTTTACTTTGGCCCAAACCACCCCACCTTGTCGTCCTTGCTACTGCCACCGAAGGATATATACTCTCAGCCCCCCTTTAGCCCCTCTTCAACCCTCCGTGTCAGTGGCATTTGAGAAGTTTGCTTTGCTTTACGCTTCGCCCGCCACTTCACTTGGCTTCGTGGCGGGATGCTTTTTCTTTTTTTTTGCTCTCTCTTCCGCTTTTACTGCCTTCCACTTTGCTGGTTTGTTTCCTGCCACGCCCCCTTCCGGGCAGCCAGCATCTTAGCAGTACAGGGGCAGGGCGGGGGCGGTGTATCAATTCATTCTGGCATTCTTTTAGGCGACGACGGAAATTTTCCAATTTTCCGTTGAAGCAGAAAAATAAAGCATTCCCATGAGAGCTGTGAAGAACGTTGCTTAACTTCCGCTCTAAATTTTTGAACAAGGATTTTCATCACTGCAGTAGTTGGGTGAGTGATAATCTAAATCGAATTTAAAATATTTTAAAATTTGAAGTGACCTAAATCTGGATTTATAATTATACCTTTATACCTACTCGTTGTTCTGCTCTTAATCTAGTCGTATTTACTCGTCGCTCTGTTCTCATCATCTTAGTGGTTGTTGTCTTTGGTATATTGCTTTAGAATAATTAAATAAAACGAAGCTAAAGCATATTTAATAAATTTTAAACTCTTTTTTTAACTCTTTGAAATCTCATCAAAATTTACTAAAACTCTAGAGAAAATACACTGCAAAATCGTACAAGAACAGAGTAAAAAATTGAGACTCAAAACACCAAAACAATAATATGTAAACACAGTGTATTCTTATCTGCCCTGCTTTTCTCAACAAAGCTTTGACTTTGGCTCATCAAAACAAAACTGATTGCTACCGGATCAGTTGTTAATCTAACTTAAAGCTGAATAGTCATACGGACAGCATAATGTTGTTTACTAAAAAACCCTATGTGGGTTTGCTGCTCTGCAGCTTGTTGGCCATTTTCCAAACAATTTCCGGGGAAGTGGGAAAGATGGTCTGCTTCTATGATACACCAAGATTGGCACCCAATAGTAAGTTTGTTAGCGTTTAATCTCTATGTGACAAATGGATCAGGGGGTTATCTCTAACGGAATACCCTACTTTTATTTTTTGCCCAAGGCCCCGCACCAATCACACTGGCAGAACTGGAGCCCGCTTTGAATTTTTGCAACTTTTTGGTCTACGGTTATGCGGGAATCGATCCAGAGAATTTTAAAATTATATCCTTTGATCTGCCCAGTGGGAACCACATCAACGATCTACGCAAGAAATTCCCCCATGTTCGGTTCCTGCTCTCCGTTGGCGGTGATCGCGACATAAACGGCGAAGGGGTGCCCGATACTGGTAAGTATCTAAGTTTGCTGGAACAGCCAGAGCATAGGAGCAACTTCAGGGCAAGCGTTATATCGGAGCTCAATAAATTCGGATTCGATGGCATCGATCTGGCCTGGCAATTTCCCAAGAACAAACCCAAGTTGCAGCAGGGAATCCTGAAGAGGGCCTGGGGCAAGTTTCGTGGCTGGTTTAGTTCCACCTCAGTGGATGAAAAGGCCGCAGAGCACAAGGAGCAGTTTGCGGCTTTAATGGGAGAGCTGAGAACAGATATCCACCGAGCTGGCAAAATGCTCAGCCTCACCATGCTGCCGCATGTCTCTGCCGAACGTGAGTAGAGGAACTTTTCCATATTCCATATATCAATTCTAATATCAAACTCTTTTCTTCAGTTTTTATTGATATCCCAGTTGCGCTGATGTATGCGGACTTTGTCAACCTGGCCACCTATGACTTCCAGACCCCGGAACGAGATCCCAAGGTGGCTGATCTTCCAGCACCCCTCCAAGCCATGTATGAGCGGGATCCCAGTCACAATGTCCAGTACCAGGTCCAGTATTGGTTGAATGCAACAGCGGAGAGGGACTTCAATAAGCTGCATATTGGGGTGACCAGTTATGGGCGTTCCTGGGTTATGACCAGGAACTCTGGCATCACAGGCTATCCGCCCATACCCGAGGCAGATGGCCCGGCACCGGCGGGCAGTGCAGCCGGTATACTCAGTTGGCCGGAGATATGCGAGCTGCTACAGCAACAGCCTACGGATAGGGAGACACCGCATCTGCGCAAGGTGGGGGATCCGACCAAGAGGTATGGCGTCTATGCCTATCGAGCGGCGGATGACAAGGGCGAGAATGGCCTCTGGGTGGGCTACGAGGATCCCACAACGGCGGCCAACAAAGCTGCGTTTGCTCGAGCTCATGGCTTAGGGGGTGTGGCCTTCCACGACCTGACTATGGATGATGTACGCGGTCAGTGTGCAGGCGAAAAGTATCCCATTTTACGCAGCATTAAATATAAGCTGTAGTGTGTTTTCTGTAAACAATTGATTGATGAAAATATATGTATAAAATTGTATCTGTATCTTGTGTGATGTAGCGATGAAGAAATATTTTTAAAGCTGCAAGATATCCTAAATAGTTGGAAATTAAGGAAGCATAAGGGATGCCCCTGAAATCTTTATACATTTTTAATTCAATTTAAAATGTGTCCAAAAGTATGCAATAAAATATGTGAGAGCCTAAGCTGAAAGCAAGTTCAGTAGAAAATTATGTTATTATACTTTTAATTTCCACTTAACTTGATTTTAGATTACCTAAATATCGTTCTTTAAACAAAGAGTAACTAGTAAAACTAGTAGAAATATTTAACAAATATTTTAAAGAATAAAATCACATCTTAACCAGCTTTAATGGACCTCGTCCTTTAAGGCTAACAAGTTGAACCCCATATATGTAGGTTTTAAAAATTATATTTTGACAGATGCGTCCTTTAAGCATCATATTTTTCATATATATATTTTCCATTATCCATATTTCCCACAAACAAACACCCAACACACCCTAGATGCCATTAGTGGGAATGGAAGAATGAGTGACTTGAGGGAGATGGCTTACAAAAGTGTCACTTCCACAGCTTGAATGCCAATCCCTAGACCTGCACTCAGCACCAATTTGCCGATTCCCACGAGACAATAATGTTTGTCCATGCTCATAACGCTTAAACACATTAAAGCCGTCGTCTACAGGGGAACGGAATGATGAGTTGTCACTCCCCGAGAGCTGGCCGCAATAACTTGGGGTTACCACTCAAACATGGAAGGCCATGTCCCTGCCCTGTCCTGCATGTCCTTGTGCCGGCTTCATCCCTCGCTTGATTAGCAATTTTGCTCACGTGGCGGCACAAGCAAAATGTGTTGACTGCCATGCTGCCATTTGATGGCACAGGAAGGGTCAGAACTTTAAGGGGGCTGAGGTTCAGTGGTCAGTTATTCCCCTTCTGCTGGCAAATTTTGGAAGGGAATAACGCCCACGGATAATAGAACAGACTCCCGAATCAAATTGTGTTTGAGGGCATGCCGATTCTTTGGGTAATTACCTTCATTACAACCAGAGCGTGGATTAATTCGGTTTTGTTTTTAATTAAATATAAATAATGCTTAAAAAACTGAAAATATAAATATATTGATGATAAACAAATATACAAATGCAATGTAAATTTGTTCATATTTTTACATTTAATTAAAGTAATATTATTATAATAAATAATAATCTTATAAATTCTTATTTTTAAGACTTTATTTCATAGAAAAAGTCTGTATTATTCATTAAAATAATTTCTTAACAAAGAATTAATGTAAAATTGCCTAAGTTAAATGTTAAAACAAGAATAATGTTTGTTTAACGAATACATATCAGAATTTCGCAGTTCTTTTTAAAAGTTAAGAAACTTTTTAAACCAGACTTTTACCCTTTCTCCTAACTAAGCTTAGGTATTTACAAAATATTTTCCCCTTAGCGCCCAAATGAATGCAACAAAATGGGTTCTCCACCCCCAAAAAAAAAACCCCCCACAAGAACCTAAAGTTTATGAATAAGGACACAGTTGGTTGCATCATAAAACCGAATGGTGAGAGCCATAAAACTAACCACAGCTAAAAAATAAAAAAATAGGAAAATATTAAAAGTGGAAGAAGGGGTAAAAGCGCAACTGAAATCAACAGAATGTAACCGCAAGCACGGACGCTTAGGCAATCAACTAACGGAGTGCACACATGTTCGGGAACACTGCTTTGCAGTGCACCTTCACTGCCACGCCCACTCACCCAAACCGCCCCCACTGGCGCCACAGGTTGACAGTAAACTAATAGAGGCGCAGCTGCCGAGAAAGCCATTATATTCCGACCTGCAGGAGGAGGATAAGGAGCCTGGCAATTACACATAAATATATGGTAAGTGCACAGGGAAAAACTAAAGTCAGGAGCTGAATAATGGGACTAAAAATAGTGCTTAATAGAGTGTACATAAAAGTTATTGATAAAAGTGTTCTGAGATTAGCTTGTGTATTTTAAGAAAATATTACGTATACGCATTAGGAAGGTATTTCGAAAGAGAAAAATTTAATATTTAATATCTTTAAAAATATTTTTTAAACATATTTAAAATGGCAAAAATATATTGTGATTTTATATATCGATTAATATCGTATTTAATATTAAAATATCGATATACATTATCGAAAATATTTGATTTAATTTATTGGGGTCCTTTTTTATATTCTGACAACTGAATTCTTGAAAATATCGACAATGTATCGCAATAGTTAATCGATATTTTTATCAGTTTGTATGAAAACAGCTGTATTTAATTGAAAATAGCGGCTAACTATAGCTATTCATCGTTTATATTTTGATTAATTTTGTCTTTCAGTCATTAAAGGAATATCTCACATATAAAAAAGCCAATCGATTTATCGTACATATCTCTCAGCGTTAAAATATCTTTAAATATATTTAAATATAAACTTTCTCTTTAAATATCAATGTTGATATTTTCTGCCAAGTCCAATCTATCTACCCTCATTCCTCGTTTTATTATTTAACTTGAATGTCAAACAATGCTTTAACCTCTACATACAGTTGGATTTAAAATCCACCCAAGCTTGTCTTTTATTTAATTGAAGTAGAGCATAAACATAACAACTTGAGAGCTTTGACATGTCGCTCCCAGCCCACCACTTGAGTCCAGAACGAGGGCAGGTAAATTGAGGCATTTAGCCACATGACGGTGGAGCTTTAATCGTGCCACAAATACCGTGAGCCGCCACCACCCTTAATACCCAAATACCCTCTCGACTGGGTGATTAACTTTTTCGAGAGACATGCGGCAGCTGTCGCCATCCGCACCGCAGCGTAATTAAATTGTTAACGCACACGTGTCGGTTGTCCGTCTATCCGAGCACACACATTTTAACGAACGCCGCCGGTACACTCATCCGGACGAAGTTCATTTATCCGTAATGCCTTCTACGTTGACAAATGTGGAGAAAACAACAACAGCAGCAGCAGCAGCATCAACAGCAACAGCGCTTAGCACATGCGGCAAAACACCAACTCGCTAATCCAGTAAAGGGGAGTGGTTGTGGGATGCTTGATGAACCCTTTCTCCTCAGCTCCACTCAGCATTCACCTTCACCTTACCCAACTTTTCAGCCCCCTTTTGGCCCAGCCACCACCCCAAAAAGCGCTGACAATCGCCTCAAGCCCCCCTCAGTATAAAAAAAAAAACACATTTTGCATGGCGCTCGGATGGTGTTTTTAATGCTTCATTGGCTTAATTGCCAGCCATGTGCGACATCTCCATGCACAGCACACAAATGTTTAAAAAATTTTAAATTAATAAAACAACAATCAATTTAAGATATATATTAATATTTATTAATATAAGTTTTCATTCTACTAAAATAATTATAATATAAGATTACATTTCTATATAGATAACCAGCCATAAACATTGATAAGGACAATCATTATAATAAAAAACCAATATAATTGTAGGTTTTCCTGGAAATATAAAATTTTATAATATTTGCATAGACTAAACTATAAAATATGTACTTTACTAATACAAAAAACTAAATTCTGTATAAAATATTAATTGATTCTACACCACACATTCCTTCTCCATTAATAATTTCTTATACTTTTTAAGGAAATCTATCCTTTTAATTATAATTGTGTTTTTAAATCTTAATTGTTTTCAGTGCACACATGCCTGGCTGTTACTTATAAACAAAATCAGAGCCACACACACACACACATACGCAACAACTTTTGCGTGGTAAAGTTAATTCGACCACAAACACGTTCATTTACCTTTTGCGGATAGACACATGCCATTGAACAAGTTAAATTTCAGCCTGGAAAATCCCCCTGGGAGTTGTGAAAAGTTTGGGTAAACTAGCTAAACTTTTAAATATAGATTTTATTTTATTTTAAGAGGGATAAACTTTAGAGAAATTTAAAACATTTTGGGGTAAATAGAATATACACATATGTTTAATATAAAATAAAATATTTTGAATAAATTTTCAGGACTATTTAAACTTTTAGTAAATCCTATTAAATAGTCATCGAAGATTTGATTTAAGATAAGAAATCTACCAATTTACTGATTAACAATTTTAACATTATATTTCCTAAGCAATAATGTGTGTAAATATACATTGAAAATTTGAAAAAATACTCAGAAAGCTATCAATGTTGATACGAAATGCAAATGCAAATCAAAGCTTAAGATCTTTCAAAAGCTATCAAGAACGGGATAGGAGGCTGCCTCTGCTGGTGCTACTCAGATCAAGTTATGACACATTCCTTTATATTCAAAATGCCATGAATTAATTGAAAAAGTGCGCAATTCGATGCTAATCAATTTGACTTCTCTGGGCTATAAAAGCTACCTGTTCGCATCGATTGGCAAATTAGTCGCTCATTTCAATCGCAATATGAAGCTGCTTTCGGTTGCCTTTCTGCTCGGCCTTCTGGCTTTGGCCAGCGGTAAGTGTTCTAAATAAAAATTTAATCTATAAAGCCGATACTAAGTGAAGTCCTTGTTCCAGCCACTCCTTTGAATCCCGGCAATGTGATCATCAACGGCGATTGCAGAGTTTGCAATGTTCGAGGCGACTAAAAATTATTATTAAAAGCTGGATGCTGCTGATGAATTGTGAAAAAAAAACATTAAATAAAATGAGTTCTTTGAAACATTAAATTTTGTTGAAAAAGTTATTTATTTTGTGAGTGGGACAAACATATAAAGAAATTATAGAATTTAAAGAAAATCTATCTGTACTGATGGATTTTAGGATATGTATTCACATTCCCCTAAAATTTCATAAACTCTTTCGGAAATAATGAAATAAATGTTTTTTAAAAACTACAAATATATATCAAAATCGTGTTCGTATACCATTTATTTTGAATATTAACCAAATTCAAATTTTAACCTCCATGGACATTACAGCTTCGGCAATCTCCATTTATAACAACGTCACCAGGAACCAGCGGAGAGGCTAATTAAAATAAAATTATATAAATATATATATTTTAAATAAATGTATTTTATTTTATTTTTTACTCACCACTGGCCAGGGCCAAAAACCCTAAGGCAAAAATCAAGGAAATTAACTTCATGGCTACGGATTGAATGCAACTAATTCCAATACCTTTCATTTAATTTCTTTTATAGGCTCTGAAAAATGTGTGAAATTGCAGGAATTTCCCTTGCACGTATTAATTTGATTGGGAAATTCGATTTTTGACTAGGTCAATGGACAAGGTCATATTGAAACTGGAAACGCCCGAGAAATAAAATTTTCCCCATTGAGTGAGTTGATAAGGCGATGTATTATATTTGAATGCAAAATCGTGTGGCGAACAATGATAACAGAGATTTTTGAAATATATTATTAATACAATTCTTACATATATAGATAAGGCAGCTTGCAGCAAAGTATTTGCTGTTTTAAGATAGGTAAATTTGAAAATTAATCTAAGAATATCTATTTCTTAAATTCATTGATTTTAGTAACTTAATATAATTTAGTGTCAAGCTAAAATTATGATATAATAAGAAAAAGTCTACGAAACCATAAAGTGCGTGTCTTTTAAACGGCATCACCAAGCTGAATCCCTAAAGATCCCAGATTTCCCTTAAATACTCCAATACTTTCAAGGCAGAATATTATTTTAGCTGCCTTAGAAAACTCACCAAAAGCATTTATAAAATATCTTTCTCAAATTAAGGAATATTAACTTCCAAGAAAATATACCCTAAGATTTAAAATACTTGAAATAGCTCGTAGAATTATTTAAATTTAATTACAACGCAATTTTAAAATTTTTAAATAGTACTTTTCATATTTATTGATTATAATATATTAATTTATTTATTAATTTTAATTTTACAAATGGTCTTTAAATTCATGAAATCCTTATATTTTCTATTATTAATATTAGAAAAAGCCTAGAAAAAGGGAAACCTACAAAAGTAAGCATACCTTTAATAAATTGGTACTTTAAATGTTCTTTCTTTCTGTATTAAATATGAATTAAACTAAACAAATGATATAAAATTCCAAATGCCATTGCTCCAGATGTTAAAGTGTACGACATGGAGCCCGATTTTTTTCCAGGACCCATAATTATGTTCTTGTCATCATCGGGCTTGTTGCAGTCAATGCACTCTCCATTAATATACACCTTGCCCGGGGTGGCTGCAATTAAAATGTCAAAAAAAAATATATAATAAAAAATATAATAAAATCTAGATTTATGCAATATCAATTACCGTTAACCGCAGACAGTAAACAAAGCAGCAGTATCACTGCCGAGGCGATTTGGAGAGGTTTCATGGTTTGATTTGCGATTAATTCTGAATGTAAATGCGAGAGTGCTCTGCTTTTTATATGGGATTAGTATATAGTATATAGGAACATTAGGGTACAGTATTTTCTGGAAATAATGAACTATGTATTTAAAAAATATATATTTTTCTAAGTTTTCTTCTGTCTGCTGTAGGTAGAGGAATTTAAAAATAATTTAAATAGTAATCTAAATACAAATATTTTATATTTTAATTTACATATAAAATTGTACAAATGAAATAATGTTTTTTTTATAATTTTATAACTGAGTTGTTGGCGTGATAAAGGTCTTAGAAAAAATGTATATGTTTTGTCTATATTTTAATAAACTTTATATATTTCTTTAGCGCAGCCACGTAAAAAAATTGATCAAAAAATAAATACTTACAAATATGGGTTTCTATAATATTTATTTTTAAATTTAAGTATAATCTGAAAATTCAGTTTACAACAAAAATCTACAAGCTTAATATTATTTCATTAATAATTTTGTAGAATAATGCAGTAACCTTAAATATTAAAAAAAAAACTAAAAAAATTTTGACGATGTGTTAAGAAATATACTGCAATAGGCTGAATGCCAAACTACTTATTTAAATTTGTAGAATTTTCTTATTAATTTTAAAATTTTATTTAAAATATTAATTTATTATTAAAGTCGCTTTAAATAGTTCTAAAAATTGTAAAACAATTTTTTTAAATTTGCAGAAATTAGTTGTATTTCCCAGTTAAACCCAAATAAACATTCATGATTTCTTTTACTGTGTTTTTGTTTTATTAAAGTTTCATTGAATTTTTTCTATTGTGTTTACTTAAGTATATGTGACAAACTATGTATTATATGGCGGTGTGCATTTTCTAAATTGACCGATAGCTGGATTGTATTCCTCCTCCATTTCTGTGACTCTAGGCTCGCACATTGCAGACGCGGCAGTCGCCGTTGATGATGACATTGCCGGGATTCAGGGGAGTGGCTGTGTTAAAAAATAATTCAATTTATTAATTTATAATATTAATTTATATAGACTTTTTTTTACTGACCGCTGGCGAGGGCAACCAGACCCAAGACGAAGGCGAGCGACAGGAATTTCATGTTGAAATAGTTTTGTTTTTTTTTAAGGAACTCGGCGAGTGAACTCTGGTGGATTGGCAGCTGACAACTGATGCCGAAAGCAGAAAACTGCAGTGCTTATATAGCTCGATCGCTCTATAGCTTCATAGCCAAAGCTAGCTCTTATCACAGCTGCCTGGGAAAAGTCTGTGCGAGATTGGGATTCGCCCAGAGGCAGCCCCCAGGCCAGAAATTCCCCGAGTGCAGTGCGACGTTCTCAATGAAAACTGAGCGTAAACAACTCTTGACTGATTGGCGGAGGGAAATCTGTCCCGGAGCGAGATTTTATTCACGTGCAGCTGAGAGATTCGAAACCTGATTTAAACTTGGAATGGGACTGGCGCCCCTTTGCCATGATTCCACGTATTGCGACTCGTTCTGCAGGCAAAGCTCTAAGTTTACACCTTTGATTCCTTGGAATCAATTACGCAAAAGTAAACGTGTAAATTAAGAACAAATGAATTAGCAAGTACGGGTACTAATGGAAAGATGATGCAAATATAAGTCGAGAGGCATCGACTGCGAGATACCGAGTACTTTCTAATTTTCCCTAATTTTTCCCAAGGCTCCATTTCAAAAAGCAATATTAGTTCGCATATTATTATTATAATTTTTCTATAGATTTTATAATTCATTTTAATTAGTAATGGCGGTGTAAGTCTTCATCATAAATAATTTAGTTTTTATATTTACGGGACATGGCTAAATCGATTCGGCTGATGTTAATCAAATATGTACATATATCGTTATTTGAATCTAAGTCTCCTTTTTGGGCCTCTTAGATACAACACCCATATACCTTAAAATATGGTTACTAAGTATAATTAAACCACTTGTCCTATTTCCGGCTTATTTTTAGAAGTAATCTGCATTATACGTATTCTGCATAATCCTCATTATAAATTCATTTAGTTTATTATTTATTTGTTCTGTGTTATAACATTTTGAGAATAATTTGATATAACAAATATTTCAAAATATGAGTATACTACAGTAAAGGTTTAAAATATTTATTTATATAAAAAAGGGAAAGTAATTTTATTTTTTTATTCTTTTTTTTTTCTTATTTTTACATTATTTGTCATTAATTTGTTAGATTAAATGTAAGCGTAAAGCTTAAAAACTGAGCACAAAATAGTCATCATAGATGAAATATGTAAATAAAATATATATTTAAAATTGTAAATAAAAAGTATACGTTTTTATTTAAAACTATTTATTTTTTATGAATTTTTACAAAAGGCCTAGATAAGTTTTTAAACCTCGAAAACTTTATTAATCAATTTTGTTATACTTAAAGTAGGTAAAAATCATGAAGATTTCTGAATGTCTCTAGCATAAAATATAGTAAATTTATTATTAGCTGTAATAAACTAAAAATATTTGTTTGTTATTTCCCAAGTTTTCCAACTATGACAACAGTGCGGATGCTTTATATACAATGATAACACATCCCAGGTATATAACGCATCCGCACTGTTGTCATTGTGCCTAAGCCCTAGAACAAATATTAATAAATAATAATACAAATACATATAAGCAATAGGAAATATACGTAAATACTAAAAAGGTATTGACCTATAAATATAGATTTTCAAAACTGTAAACTAGATTATGATAGTTGTAATAGAGGTATATATAGTGTAATGGAAGTAAAATTCATAAGAGTAAAGATTTTTTAACAATCTTAGTTTCTGTATAACAGAATATGATTTTAAATTATATTTCCACATTTGGTTTTTTGTTTGCAGCCAAGGAACTTCTTCTTAAGCTTCGTTAAGAGAATACCAACCATCTAAAAATGTTTATAGATTTTGCTGAAATTTGTATAGCCATAATAAAAGACAACAAAATGGTATAAGTTGTAGTTTTCACTTTAGTTTTTGTATTATTGGCATTGTTTTTAAATTCTATGTTTCACTTTAGTACAGATTTGTAGCTTAAATAATGTGTCTTGGGTGTGAGGTAAGCTATGGCCATGTATCGATCGTCCTTCCCTCTACTTGCCGCCGTGCACATTGCAGTACTTGCAGTCGCCGTTGATGATCACATTTCCGGGATCGGGCGACAGAGGAACAGCTGCATAGAAAAAAGAATAAAAATTATAAGAATTAATAAGATAATTGATTCAGGAAGAGGGAAGCCTCAACTCACCGTTGGCCAGGGCCAGCAGACCGAGAACGAAGACGGTAACAACGGAGAAGAATTTCATATTGAGTCTGGGATTTATTCCGGCTTGGTTGCTAAATGCTCTGCGCAATTGATTGGCTTGAACTGATGCTCTCGACCAGCCGCTCATGATCTTATATAGCTGCCCGCTGGGATCGGAACAGATCGGATCGGATCGCTGCCGACTCGAGTGCATTGGGCAGTCGGAGACTTCTGATAACCCCCGACAAATAAGACGTGTGTGGGAAAACACCGAAAGGTCTCTGTGCTATAAAAATCGTGTAGTAGTATACTTTTTTTTGTTTTGCGTATTTAAATCTGGAAATTCCAGTCTACATAGTGTTTACGCCAAAGTCAATAAGTCTGTTATGCCAAATAGCAGGTAGAAGCGAATATTATTAAATCTCAATTGAAAAATTTTATAGATTTTGCTGTAATTGTTGAGTCTATAATAAAAGACAACACAAAGGTATAAGTTGTAGTTTTCATTTTAGGTTTTGTATTATTGGCATTGTTTCTAAATTCTATGTTTCACTTTAGTACAGATTTGTAGCATTAATAATATGTCTTGGCTGTGAGGTAAGCTGTGGCCATGTATCGATCGTCCTTTCCTCTACTTGCCACCATGCACATTGCAGTACTTGCAGTCGCCATTGATGACCACATTTCCGGGATCGGGCGACAGGGGAACAGCTACAAATAATAGAAATAATAGGAATTAATAAAATAATTCATTCAGGAAGATGAGAGCCTCAACTCACCGTTGGCCAGGGCCAGCAGACCGAAAACGAAGACGGTGACAACGGAGAAGAACTTCATATTGAGTCTGGGACTTATTCCGGCTTGGTTGCTAAATGCTCTTCGCAATTGATTGGCTTGAACTGATGCTCTTGGCCAGCCGCACATGATCTTATATAGCGGCCTGCTGGGTGCACTCGAGTGCATTGGTCAGCCACAGGCTTCTAATCATCCCAGACAAATACGACGTGTTTGGGGAAAACACAAAAAGGTTAGCACTCTCTGTGCTATAAACATCGTATAGTAAGTATACTTTTTTTTTGCGTATTTAAATCTGGAAATTCCAGTCTAAAGTTTACGCCGATGTCAATAAGTCTGTTATGCCAAATAGCAGGTAGAAGAGAATATTATTAAATCTCAATTCAAGCGAAAAAGGGTTCTAGTCTGTGGTTAGACATTGGACGGACATGTAGGGAATTTCATGATAAAATTTCAATCTTCTTCGCTGCAGCAAATATATTTTATATTATTTTGTTTTGTGTTTATTTACTTTTATTTAAATTCTAAAATATATACACATAAATACTTGCAGCCGGCGTTAATTAAATCAAACAACGAGCTGTGGTAAGCCAATAACAATGTATTTATATTGTATGCATACATTTTGGTTTTATAAAAAGTGTATCGACTAATTAAAACCCGTTGAAGAGATGTTAATTAGGAAGTGAACACGTGTTGGTTGTTCTAACTTAACAGGTAATCCATATATAATCCATGCGATACTTGTGCAATAAATTATGAAGCCAGATGCTTAATCAAGTAATTCTTAGAAAGCAATTGATTTTCTTATTAACAAGGTAACCCATCGTCGTATCCCTATTTTACATTGGATGAGAAAGGGAAATTATCAGGTCTATCAGGACATCAGCCATCTCATGGTTTTCTAAGCTAATCTCTTCATCCTAATCTAACTGCAAGTAACAGTCAATAGTTCAGCTTTGTCTAAAAAAACGTAAAAAATAAAGCATTAAGTAAAGCTTATTCCAGCTTGCGGAGGAAGTACATATTAAAGTGTGAACACTCCCGTATATTTATATACTATACTACATTTACAGATTTGAGATCAAAGCCCAAGATAATAATCCAGCTATAAAATAAGGTGCCTGATCACACAGCCGTCGATCCAGCCAGTTGGAGAGCCGCAACAATGAAGTGTCTGACGTTATTAGCGCTATTGGTCTTGGCCACGTTGGCCTTCGTGCAAGGTCAGTTGTGAAATTTACTCTAAATATATAAATTCAATTATTAAATAATATTTAAATAATACTCTCTCCCACAGCCGGCAAGGTAAGCATCAAGGGCGAGTGTGTCCACTGCAATGAACATCCCACCACCACCACACGCAAACCCTCCCCTGCCCGAGGTAATGGCGGCAAAACTACGGCCAAGCCAAGGTCAAAAACTCCACCGGCCCGCAAGGATTCGGACTCGGATGAGGATGATGATGATCTGTCCGGATGGTCACTGCATCAGACCTCTGGCGGAGCTCAGCACATAGCCAACAGGCGCCACAAGCGTCAGTGGGGCCGTGGGTGGGGTGGAAGCGAACAATATATCGGCGGCTGGACAGGAAATGGTCCCGTTACCACCATTGATTCCCGTGGCACTCCCGATACAATAGTCCGGAACAGCGATTGCGTTGGATGCAACATTCGGGGTTGAGGTTGAGTTGAGATTCAGAAAAATTAGATCAACGGAAGAGATAATCTTAAAGACAAAAATTTTAATAAATAAATTACCAATCACATATATATAAATAAAGTCTTTAATTTGTTTTAGATGGTTTTTAGTGTTATTTTAACATTTTTTCAGCCCGTCGGCGATATTTTTGTCGATAGAACTTTTTAAGTCAGAACGCCTTGAGAATTTTAGTACAAAGCTAGCAAATAGAGAGATTTTTATATACAGGAAATCAAATAGTATTTTTAATATCCATATTGAATTAAAAAAAAATCATAAACTTAACATAAACAAATATTTGTAAACAATTTGGTTTGTTTTTGTTTGTTAAAATCAATTTGCTTATATAATACTTCGATCCAGTTCGATTTCAGCTGAAATAATCTGCTAGCTGCGATTCTGGAAAACCCCTTTGCCAAGAATTATCTGCCAATTGAACTGGTTTCCCGGGCGATTCCCCACTACGCCACTTGACTGCGTGCCGACTTGCAATCTGGTTTCTAAAACAAAGCAAACGAAATCGCTTAAAAGCTTTATGAACTCAGGCGCCTTTAGCAGATTCGTCTTGCATCCAGATCGAGAATGAAGTGCCTGATTTTGTCCTTTGCTATTGCCGCTGTCCTGGTGTCCCTGGCTTCAGGTAAGCAGACAGGCGCAATGGTCCTACTCCACCTTCTCCCGTTATCCCCAGCATTCACTCATTATTCCAATCCTCCATAGCCGGAACCGTGGTTATTGGCGGCCGATGCCTGGATTGCAGTCCGCCGGTGGGCGAAAAAGTCATAGTCGATGGCCAAGTGCATAGCAGGGGCAAGCCAGGCCAAGGAACTGTCTACATTAATTCTCCGGGTGCCTATCCAGGAGCACTGGATGGTCCTGCCCGTGGTCCTCCCCGTAAGATAGCCTCAGGAGCTGATGGCACTCGGTATCCCGAGGGCTTCAGTGGCCGTGTTCCCGGCAATACTTACCTCCACAACACGGACTGCGTTGGCTGCAGCATAAGCGGAGGCGGGGACTGAAAATTAATAAAATGTGATTAGCATAAATGAGAGTTTTGTATTTGAAATTGTTTTTAAATTTGTTAATTTTTAAAATTTTATGCCCGTGGAAAAGCAGATACAATTCGTGGGGAAAGTACAAACATCGTTAGTTCACTAAAAAAATAAATAAAAGATACATTACTTAAACAAATTAGTGTTTACTCTTCTATTAATATTATTTGCTTTCCTACATGTAATTATATTAATTATTTAAAATTAATACCAAAAATGGATTACCTACCTAATAGAATTTCAGAAAAAAACTAAAACAAAATGTCGACTATGGGATACTCTACATTCTGTAAAAGATAGTTTGTAATACTAGAATCATTTTTGAGCCAAATATGTATGGTTTTCAAAGGTTAATAACTTGCTTTCAATTAAAACTAATATTTTTTGTTTATTTTTCTGTTAATGAATAGGTTTATAATTGTTAAGATAATGTAAAATATAATAAATTATAATATAATTAGCAGATTTTTTAGTATGTAACTGGATGTAAGCCTTGTTCTTTTAAATATATGTGCATTTTGGGGACTCGAAAGAAGACGCATTATTCATTAGATTGTTTTACGTTTTATTTTGAAAAATAAGATAAAGAACAAGGCTACATCAACTAGTATTTTTATGAATAAGAAGTCGAAAGCTTGTTTTTATTCTTCCTTATATATACATTTTACTCTACAAATATCGGTCATAAACATTTCTAATAAATACATGGCACGTGGTGACAAAAATGTCACAGAAACCAACGAAGATGGTGCATAAATCCAGTTTGATTTGTTTGTTTTTATACTTCAAATTATAACGAGGTTATTCACCAGTCAGCAGTAACGAAATGACAAATTTTTAAGATGTCAAAGTAAATATTAAGCGTGAGAGAACATTAGAAAGTGCCTCGACTAGGATATACCCTTAATTTGCTGATATATTAGCAAATGTATTCCATTACTTGAGCCATTGTTGCTTCATTTTTCTACAAATTTAATTATTTAAAATTATGTAAAAAAAAGTATCTTACAACGTTTATTATAGGTATATACGCATAAATGTATCTATAAGATATGATAAAATATTTAACCATTTCCTTTCATCTCAACTGCAATAAGTGTGTTATTAAATCACAGCTCTTAATAACAAAGCCGATACTTTACGTCATTATTGGTTTTTACGCAGTGCCTATCAGAAATGTTGCTAAATATATAAATTAAATTCCGAAGCTGGAAAGCAGAAGCTTTAAAGCTGCCCATCCGGCGAGCAAGGGCTTCAGTTATATTGCATAGGTTATCAAGTGCGGCGGGGGTTTTGCATTCATTCTACTGTTCTTTGGGAAAATCCTAAGGTTTTATAAAATATTCAAGGGTATTTTCACTTGTTCTTGCTCAGCCCGAGCAAAAGCTATATAATAAGACCATTACTGTGGCCTCTCAGTCAGTTTCTCATCTGAATTGTTGCCGCAATGAAGTATCTCTCGTTATTTGTCACGCTTCTGGCGCTGCTATGCCTTACAGATTTCGGAAGTGCTGGTAAGTTCTCCACTTCTACATCCACTTAGAATCTTTTGCTGATGGAGTATAATTTTCAGGAAGAATACATATCCCCAAGATAACTATTCGCAATGGAGATATAACTGTCCATGGAGACTGCATAGGCTGCACAGCACGAGCCAGCAAAAACTCGGCGCATTTATCAATTCATCAGTCTTACTCATATAAATGGAGGAGTAAAGGTTAAATTTAGTTAATAATTAATATTATAATTAATAATTAAATATATCAGGTAGAAACAATCTTGCCATTTATATTTAAAATATTAATAAACAACTATTCTTGTGAATAAATTATTAAATAGATGTAAACTAAAAGTTTGCTTTTAATTATAGAGCTGGTTATGGGTATTTGACAATGCATTCTTCCTTAATTAGTCGAAGTTATTAATCTTAAATATTTGTACATAAGAGCGAGTATACAAACATATAAAAATACAACAAAATAAAACATTTTTAAAAGGAGTAATGAACCTTGTCTGATGTCTTTACTATTTTAACAAAATATTCTCTTTTGACAAACATATTTCCCAAAAAAATAAAACACAACAAAATCCTTCCATGAACAACTGTTTTTGGCCAGCTTTCTTGCCCACCTGAGGGCTGAGTTCACTTCACTGTACTAAATTAATAATAGCCAAATTGCAATGTTCTCGTAAATTTGTCGTTAAACTCAAGCCGGGGTCGTAAATCATTCCGGGGCAGCGCGAGGTTCCGTTTCGGCTTCTGTTTTATGCCTCATTGGTGGAAATATTTCAACAAAAAGGCATAAAAATTGCCATCATATTTGACTTTACCCGGGCCATGCCTTACACGTGTTTTTCTCATTTTCCTTGCGGCAGCCATTTCCGCGTTCCAACTGCCGCGTTCCGCGCCCTCAGTCCTGTGTCCCGAGTCCCGTGTCCTTTTGCGAGATGTTTTATTGCCAAGGAAAACGGAACGAAGGCAAACCGCTGTGCGCCTGTAAATGACTCCCCAGGCACCTTTATATTGACTCGTAAAATTGCGACATTTAGTTGTGTGTGAGGTGTAGAGGGGAAAATCTCTCACCCCGCTTTTTCCTGCCCCTTTTCCACACTTCCGGCCCTTGGCTGTTGTCTTCGGCCTGGCTTTTTGGGGTCGGGACAGGTTTCTTTGCCGCTTTAAATTTGATTTTTATTTCCAGCGGCAAACGATTTTTTTATGGAAGAAAAAACACACCCCCATCGTTGTGTTGCTAGTCTTTGATTTCTCTCAGCGGAAATTGAGTGTTTGATAGAGCTCTGACAAAAGGACTCAGTCCGACAAGGAAAAGGCGAGGAGGATTTATCTGGTACTTGATAGATTCTTTACCTCCGCCTTTTGTCTGGTGTCCACCATTGCTTTTAATAAGAACGTTTTTTTTATCGTCCGGCTTTAGATTAATTTCATTCTGGAGGCATCAAGTGTTTAATTAAAATTTTAAAGAACTCAAACGAGTCGTATTTTCATAATTAAATTCATTTTGATGGTTCACGGTCACCACATTGCGCATACGCATAGTTAAACGAAGAAAATACTTAAATTTTGTTCATTTTCTTGCTTTTCTAATTAATTATTTCCTTCTTCCATTTGTTTATCTTAAATTGTTAACTCGAAATATACTATATCTTTAACTTTAAACAAAGTCCTCACAATCATTCAACGAAATTCACAGAAAAAATTAAAGCTCTTCTCAGCCAACAAACTCATATTTTGTTTGTATACTGAATGTCCTTTTCATTATCCTCTTCCAAATTTCCTTCTCTGGCATATCCCTGCTGCAACTGTTATTGCAACCTAATTACGCACTCCGGATTGCCTCCCCTTTGGGACACTCGACAAAGAGCCAAATATGCAATCAAAATTTTCCAAACACAGAATTTTCCTGCTACTTTTGCTGGTCGAAATGGCAACCCAATATAACCGCATTTGATGTCCAGGACATGTGGCCAACATAACCACCGAGTGGGGGAGACCGAAAACAGTTGCCCGGCCACGCCCTTGGGCCAGGCCACTACCACATCCACAGGCCACCAGCAGGAGCTCGTCTGGTACGCCCACCGCCCCCAAGGCCGATCAACTGGACATTCAATTTTACAATTCCGCCGCCCTCGGGCGCCTGCATTATGCAGCTTACCTCGAACTGATTTCATTTTCGTAATTACCTTACCAATGGCCTCCATCGCCCCCCAAAATCCCCTGCAATTATACTAAAAGAAAATTTGTTCATTTCTGAAATGTAACTCCATTCATATGGGCCCAGCTATATTTGTTAATTACTTTTGTTAATTAATTAATTAATTTTGTAATTTATGTACTTAAAATGTTTAATATTTGACAATAAAATTAAGGCAACCACATTTGCGCATATAATTCCCAACTGGTTCTAGTATTCCTGGAATAAAGTAAACAGTGGCGGATATATGTGGATACATATTTATCCTATTATATATGTGCTTGGATATATGTTTAAGCTATTTCATATGTGCTATTATAGCGGTACTTGCCCTAAAAGAAAGTTCTATATTTTTAACAGCTAAAAATTAGCTTAAAAATAAGAAAAATCTGTATAAATGTAAGAAAAATTCACCTTTGATTTAAGAAAAGTATTTTCCATAAACAAAAAAAATCGAAAAAACATAATTTTTCTACATAAAAGAAAAATAGATTTTGTATTATACATGCATATTTCGCTCAGTGCCTGCAATTCCATGGCTTATCGACAGGTGGCGCTGGCTGGCTTTGAGGTAGGGTCGGTCGGTCGTGAGCTGGCTTAACGAGTTGATTAAATGCTGTAATTGATGGAATTGCGAATGTGCGGGGATGCAAGGTGTAAATGATCGGCTTGGAATGCCGCCTGGATAAACATGTCATTGTCGTTAGACGATGCCGCTTGGTCGCTTGAATGAGCTCCAAAGTGATTTGGGATGGCTGCTCCACCCTTAACCCTTCGTTCTGCTAACCCTTTTTGCTCCGGATCTCTGGACAACATCAGTGGGCATCAATCAAAGGAGCGCCGGGAATGTGAGCGTATTCATTTCATAAATATTTGCGGCCAGGGTCGGGCCCTCGACTTCATAAAAGGGGTCGCAAAAAAGGGAAACGACGGGCCGGCACATACACACACACAAAAAGGTTGAAATAAAAAATGATTTCAAAATTGAAAGGATTATGGGCGAACGGCAACGGAGCGCGTTAATGTTGATGGCCGGATGGGTTCCCTGGGGTCGAAATTGGGGACCTGGGACTCGGAGACTACTCTGCCTCTGGGTCTGGAACTCGGTCTGGGACTGGGACTGAGTCTGCTGGTATGCTGCTGGTGTCGCTGTCAGTCAAACAAAACCGGGTGAAATCAACAAAATCAGAGGACTGGGCCCGGGCGGGGGCATACACCAACACATATCCCCAATGTTGTTGGTCAACAATATAATTTGAACAGGAATGAAAAATAAACGAGGCGCACGAGAAGTGATTTTGTGGAACCGAGAGGGGGGCTTATGAAAGCACACGAACAAAAAGAACACAAAACGTACAATTTTTGTATAAATCAAACCAAATATGTGAGCAAAATGTTTTTGATTTCGATTCGTGAAACCGGAATAGAC